GGACACTGGTGCTTCTCATTATGTCTAATTTCTCTTCGTTCTTGCAATTTTTACGGACAGGAAAATAACTCTTAACCAAAATAGCCTGACTCTTCATCTCGAACTCCCACAGTAATGCGTGGATGGCCTCATCCGGAACCAAAATGTATCCATGGAATCATCTCAGGTCAACTATTCATCTAGTTAACCCTTAAACTACCAAGCCTCGAAGTTTCGCGTGTAATAACATAGGCTCTGGGTCAAATCTGACCCAGCTTGGTCGTTTAAGGGTTAACAGGTCTTGCATTGTGGATCACAGCAGCAGTTCTCAAAGTGGAGGGTGACGAGAGGGTCGGGGGGTGACAAAGCCTGAACTTTTAGTTTTTCCATTTCAAATTTGATTTCAACGTGCATTTTGAAAAATTATTCTATATGTCTAAATTTACTATTTCTACATAAATATTTTCACATTCCTTCTAAGCCAGTTCAGATCAAACAAGATTTAAACAGAATAGCGGGCTGTAGTAGATAGAGAGAGGAAGAGGAGAGGATTGAGCTGCTTTTTTTCTGGAAAACAAGACAGATTTTTTTTCTCTACCCTTTTCCTGGAGTGCAAGACTAAATGGAAATAATCCCCTGGCGCAAACCTATAAATCTCATATTTTGAATGAGCTCCCTTCTTATCGGACCCTCTACTATAATCTGAGTCATGACACTAGCGTGAGCACATTCGGTTCCTCTCACCGGTTTTCTTCAACTCTCTCTCGCATTTCGCTGCCCGAGAAAGCCGTCATCAGGCTTTGGAAAGGTCTCTTCAGATCTACATCACAGTTCTGGATTGTATGTGCCAGCGTTGTTACTCGAATGCTTAGTTGTAGCCAGAGGCGTAGGGAGGGGGGGGGGCTTCAGTCCCTCCAAGTTTGGTTCAAGCCCCTCACAACTCCGGTCTAAATGCATCCGCCACCACCCTCCCCCCCTCGGGCAAGGAGAAATAAGCCCCCCCCCCCCATTGGAGAAATCCTGGCTACGCCGCTGGTTGCAGTTGCTTCGGTTTTCCATGAAAAAATACTTGAAAAGACAATAAGGAGATTCGGCAGACCTTGAACGATACACATCTAATGCCTATAAATTACAATCAGGATCTCGCTCTTCAGCAACGGCACTCTCAGGCAGAACTTTCAAAAGAAAAATTCCCTGTCGAAATTTCTGCTTAGCATGGAAGAGTGATAAATATTGATAAAGGGCATATATGCCTAGATTTTTATCCTTTCAAGTTGTCCACAAAAGGAAACCATAAGCAATGGTATCACTCATGAAAAGGAAAATCCAAGAGAGAAAATTAAATCGCAGAGAAATCTTGAATGTTTCCCCCATAGTGAATTATTCAAAGTTTCCTTCTCACTTGTGCAGAGCAAAGGTAACTAAACTCGAGAAACTAAATTGTCATTGTTCGCATTCCTCTCCCTCCCTTCTTCACTTCCAGCCCTTGAAGTGACATAACAAAGCTATGCCTATGATCATAAAATTACAAATTTAATTATGGCTCTGTTATGTTTTCTTCACAACCAGATGCTGGCATATACAGGGTGGGCCAAAAGTTTTTGCCCCTGTATAAAAATGTGAATATCTCCTGAACGGTTTGGGCTACAGAGTCGAAAAAAAAGCTGAAAGAAAGTTCATTTCATCCTCTTTCTGAAAATGTATGGTTTTAGGTTCCTACATTCATTTGGAGATGAGTCATGGCCGTTTGAAAAAAACATACCAAAAAAAAGTTGCCAAAACGAACCTATACTGTGCCGCCCACGGAAATCATCCTCAGCAGCTGGCTTCAAGGTCGCGTGCGCCGTCGTTTTCTTCCTTCCTAATAGCTCCCTACCTTCTTTCCCTTCTTCATAATGTGAAGGGTGAAAATTTGAAGACTTTGATGCTTGATTTGGATAACCGACCAGCAGAAGATCGTGACAAAAGTTAAACGACCTCCGGTAGTCCACTCCGCGCGTTGTGCTGAGTGCTGGTCTTTGCAGTGTTAATTTTTTTGTCAATTTACCTTTTTTTTTAACTGTTATTCAGAAACCCTTACAGGGAAAATTGGTCACAGCATCAATGTTTTCTGGCGTTCTTACTCTTCTGGGACGGCCTGTGACTGGAAGACGTTCAGCACTGCCAGTTTCACACAGTTTTCGCAAGATATAACGCACAGTCGTTTTTTGTCCATTTTCGATCGGGATATTCACGCAAGATTTGGTTCAAGGTAAATCCTTTTTCTTCACGAAGCGACCGGATAGTTTTCGCAAGATATAACGCACAGTCGTTTTTTTTCCATTTTCGATCGGGATATTCACGCAAGATTTGGTTCAAGGTAAATCCTTTTTCTTCACGAAGCGACCGGATTAAAACTCTATCACTCTCAGTTAGAACACGGCTTGTACCCATTTTCCCTGTAAGGGTTTCTGAATAAGAGGTAAGAAAAGCTAAATAATAAAAAAATTAACACTGCAAAGACCAGCACTCAGCATAACGAGCGGAGTGGACCACCGGAGGTCATTTAACTTCTGTCACGATCTTCTGCTGGACGGTTATCCAAATCAAGCATCAAAGTCTTCAAATTTTCATCCTTCACATTATGAAGAAGGGAAAGAAGGTAGGGAGCAATTAGGAAGGAAGAAAACGACGGCGCGCGTGACCTTGAAGCCAGCTGCTGAGGATGATTTTGTATCCAAATAAATATATTGAAGCATTGTCATCATAGAGGAAAGCTTATTGATGACAGTATTCTCCCCTCTCAGTTATATACATGTTCACTTCTTTCAGATTTTTTTTCGACTCTGTAGCCCAAACCGTTCAGGAGATATTCACATTTTTATACAGGGGCAAAAACTTTTGGCCCACCCTGTATATTTAGCATTACTCATGAGTCAAGATTGTTAAGAAGTGAACATGTATATAACTGAGAGGGGAGAATACTGTCATCAATAAGCTTTCCTCTATGATGACAATGCTTCAATATATTTATTTGGATACATCTAGTTAAGGTCTGGCAAGTGTGGTAAATACTTTTTGAACATTCCTAGTAAATATCACCCTATGCTGAAGCCTCATGACTCCTGAACTGGTTTTGGGAAATCAAAAGCTTTGTGATTGTAATATGTAACGATTCAGGAACTTCCTCGCCAGCCTAATGTATTACTTTTTATATTTTCATTATTATCATGACATTTGTGGCTAGCTCATCACTTCCTTGCAATTATGAGAGTGAATCAAAAAGTACTAACCAATAATTTTTTTCTCATGTGTCTTTCTTTCCATAATGAAATGTTTTTGAGGGAAGGTGCTGTTTACCACTTTACTTGGTGACAAAAGACACTTACAAAACAGAAATGATCCAGTGATCAATGTTTCTATTGTGGTGTGGAAAGGAAAGCAAGCCTTTCCAATTCCATCCATCTTTGCTTCACAATGCCTCATGCAAGTTGCTTGGACTTGGAATTGAAATACTGCATATTGGCTAATTACAATGCCACTGCATCACTAGATGTTAGAGGCAGACTTACAAAAATAGGGACTGCAGAGCTTCCATGGCCCACAATGTGTGATCACAGGTATTGCATCTAATATATATAGATGATCGTGACTGACTGACTGATGCTAAGATGGATGGAATTGGAAAGGCTTGCTTTCCTTTCCACACCACAATAGAAACATTGATCACTGGATCATTTCTGTTTTGTAAGTGTCTTTTGTCACCAAGTATAAATGGAAAGGTGAAACTTGGCACACGTATAAGTGACATGACATTACTGAGCTGTGGGAGTATTCAGCTTTCATGGGGCATCCCCTCCGGGCATAGCTTTTGGGTGGGTCGGCTTTTCCAAGCACGTTTTTTCGCCAGCGAAAAGAGCAAACGTATAATATTGAAACTATGTGGGCATGTAGTTCACCGGGCAGACATAGGAAAGTAGCTGACACACGCATCACTGACGTGATGCTGATTTAAGGAAAAATTAAACCTTTTTTATACGTCTCCTCAGAGCACAGCTTTTGGGTGGGTCGCTTTTCCAAATAATTTTTTCCGCCAGCAAAAAGGGGAAATGTATAAGGCTGAAACTGGGTGGCATGGAGTTTCCTGAGTCTACATTTAAAAGAAAAAAATTTTCGTTAAATCCCATTAGGGCACTTCTTTCAGTCCCATTTTCCTGGGTTTATTTGATCCAACAAAACATAGACAGAAAATTTAAACTTCCTTCAGAAGTACCTATTTGATGGCTGAGTAGAGGAAAAATCCTAATTTTGAAATATGCCTCCTTAGCGTAGATTATTGGAGGGAAGTATTTCAAAATGTATTCTCCACCCTTACAAAAAGGGACACAAGAAAATATTTAAAGTTAGGCACACATAGAATCATAGAGGTAATGATTTTGATAAAAATGAAGACTTTCGACACCATATGTCATGTATTTCAATGGGGACGTAATTTAAATACGTGTTTCCCATTTCGCAAAAAAATTAATGAATTAATCACTATCCAAGGTAATAGAGCGCCGAAGGCACAACCATAGTGAGTTTGTTTGCCCGAACAAGTTGTTTGCTAGTACAAGATAATGTTTAAGCCTAAAGCTCACATTCTTTCCTCCTTGCAAGAGTTTACCTCTGCTCATGCATGGATTTTGACAGCCCAGGTATGGATACAAAAGGAGACTACCCTCCTTTCTTCATACAAACATCATCCCTTCTCTACGTCAAATTGCTTTCAAGGAATATGAGGTTCAAGAACCAAATGCAAGGAAAGATAATCAAACCATTATGGTTCTCCCAAGCTTTTCACCTGCAAAGTTCTCCTAAAACCTCTATAACTTATTCTGATGTGCATGCTACAAGACTGGAGTGCAGAGAGGTATCATTGAAAGGTACAGGGGAGGCAGAATGCAAGATTCCTATTTCTTATAATCATTTGAAATATTATATGAGAATTCCATTCCATGATTGTCACTAAGTCTCATGTTATAGCAAAAGCTAGAACTAACCTGGGATTGCCTCGAAGTGCAGCATGGTGCAGAGCATTGAAGCCATTGTTATTGGTGAGGGTGATGTCTGCTCCATGTTCCAGGAGCAAGGCAAGCATATCATCACGCTTCTTGCTAATGGCATCGTGTAATGGAGTATCACCTTCAGAATCCTGCAATAGCAGAGATCCCACCAAAAATAAGAGATGTGATCATCAAGGTTGAATAATCAGCCATTGAAAACATGAATACTTACTTGAAGACTGGGAAGACAACCTAACTGGAGTATCATTCTTACTACCCCAACATGACCTTTGTTCACAGCTATGTGTAGGGCTGTCTGTCTCCTTTTGTTTCGAGCATTGAGATCAGCACCTGAGCGTGCAAGGAGCTCAAGCACAATAGGCTCATCACCATAGGCTGCATGATGTACTGCTCTATCACCATCTTTATCCTAAAGGCATAGGGAATCGTTCATGATCAAGCACCATACCAATGATTCCTGAATTGATTGCACATTCTGGAATTCAATGCCCTGTATCTGAAAACGGAATGGCTATTCACCTCAATTTCCATATCTGCTTTGTTGCGTAGGAGTGTCCGAATCACTTCAGCATGTCCATTTTGAGCTGCAGCTTGAAGGGCAGTGTGACCAGCAAATACCACATTGACATTGGTTTCACCATGTTTAAGGACATCATCCACTCTTTGTGCATCACCATTAGCAGCTGACTTTACAAGCTCCTCGATTGCATCTCCAGACACCGTTGATTCAAACAACTTTTTCAGGAGGGCATTCAAGTGCTCTGCAATGAGAATCAATAGAGTCCTGTATCATACAGTTTTCATGTCAGATGAGAATTAAAGTTTCAAATATTCAGATAATCTTGTAATTGCTAAGTAGTTTTAAATATTATGTTTTACAGATATGATACATTCTTCACTGTTCACACTTCACAATCAAATCAACATTCAAAGAAGTAGGGTTAATTTAGGCCTACTAGTCTAAAATAAAGAATGCATAAATAGATAAACAAGGATTCCCATAGTTGCATTCTATAACATGCAATCAGATGTATAATAAAGAGGTGCAAACATTATGATTGATTGACTACTTGTCTTCAACATTTACTTTTACAAATGGGTAACTTGTAATGGAAGGGGAATAGTGATAACATGGAGTTTATATGGTCAATACTTAGCATTAAGAACTGATAAATTTCACCAGAAAATTCCGGTGGTACCAACTGGTTTTTCCCACTTGGATTTGGCAGGGGAAGATAGGAGAAATGCAAAAAAAATTTACTCAAAAAAATCATTTTCCAAGTTGTGAAAGCCTCAGACCTTCAAGTCCTAACTTCATTAAAGAAAGGCCTGAAGCTTCAAACTAAAAAAGAACTCATCTGCAAGGTCAAAAAATAAAACCATGAAACCAAATCAATGTAATTGAAGCACACTTAAACTTTATTTACCAGTCAATGAAAGTGGCTCCCTCTTACTATGAAGTAGGCTAGGAAAACCCTTGCGAACCTGTGAAAAAAGGTTTATAGGAATAGAGACGCATGGGCAGGCAGTCCACATACATATCCTTCCCAGGAAATTCCAATTAGTTGCCTCAGGTTCACAGGAAAACATTTTTTTTTTCAACACTGCTATGATTTGCATCTTTCTCTCTACTCTTGAGGAAAAGGTGGATCTTTTCTTCAAATTTTGAATATTCCCAATGTTTGAGAAATAGCTTTTACAGTTCAACAGTAAGCAGATGTCAATAACAGAGCCAACAAGAGATCCACAAAGGCTTTGAAAAAATTATTCTCATTTACCTTCCACCAGGAATTTCTAATACTTCTGCAGTTTGGAACTGAATATTAATCAAAATCAAGAGGGCATACCTCTACCTTGTTGGACTTCTATGAAAGTATGAAGCCAAAGCAATGGAACTTCAGGAACTTCATACTTTCTCATTCTGGTTATGTGAATTCACATCACCCTTTGGTGAAAATATAAGTGTTTAGCAACCTATTCTTAAATTGGAGAATTTCTTAAATCAATTTTTCATTAGGTATCCCATGTATGCCAGTTTTCTTCCATTTTCCCATTACCTTATAATGAATTCCATATTGTGTCATTGAAAAATCAGCTACCTCAATGATGGAAGTTGTAATTTTTCAAAGAAAGTAGTATTTTCACAGCTCCACTTTTTGTGCAATGGATGAAACATGGCTCCCTCATTTGTACCATTCAGTTGAAGTCCTCTGTCTCTCTGACATGGCACACACAGGGAACTTTGGCAAAAAATGCTCACATACATATATGACAATATCTAATGCAGAGAATTGCATACAAAGGGTTTTTTTTCCAATTGCCTTCCAGGATCTCTCTATTCCACAAAACATGTAATACATATAATGGAGATCCAATGACTCTCAAGTACAGTCATAAAAAAAAGAGCAATATTTCACCAAACAGGGAATATCAGTCTGCAAAGCTATATTTTGAGTAAAATAGTTTCAAAATTCCCAAATAGTGAACTTATTAAGATGAGGGGGCATCAGCTGTCAAATTATGGCTCCAGTAGCTTGGAGACAACTTCTTTTTCCATGAGGCTCTTTCCTTGTGGTTTGGCCATTATTTTAAATAAAACTTAGTCCAAGCAGAGTAGGATGCATGCAAATGATACAGGCCTACTTGGGTCAAAACAGAAGACACCATAAGCATTGAAATAATGCCTCACTTGCCATGTTCCTAATAGCTGAAGCATTGGCATATATAGGGGGGAGGCTTGTGGTGCTAGAGCCTCCCCCTTAGTATAAGCCACTGGGCTAATATTCTATTGGAATCACTGTTACAAAGTCAATATCCTAATGCCTATTTTTATTCATCAGATAGAGTCCCCTAGTATAGGTATCTATATCTTATTTTATAATACAAATATGCAGAAAAAATTAGGCATATCTTCTAAACTCCACCTATAGTATATGGTCTTAGGTTATCCTGAACATAAAGACAATCAAATAACTTTTCACCATAACCTGCTTACACCTCAAGATATCATGTCCACTACTTGAGCTTGCACAACAGCATCAATAGTAATGTCCCATAAAAAGAAATTAATAAGACCAACACAATCCATTCTAAAAGAATTTGCTGTTTTGATATGAAACACATTGAATCCACTAACTCACCTCCATGAGCACAGCCAGAAGCAGCATTGTCAGATGCAACTTTGGCCACCACAGCTGGATTGTAAGTCCACAGGGTTCCACACACTTCCACTTTGAGGTCATTATCATGGTATATTTGCTGCACCCTTCCAATTTTCCCCAGCGTCTATGTGGATAAGGGAATGATTCATATAATTTAAACATGCATGAAGGCAACACACATGACCATGTTTTGCCAGGTTTATACTAAATATTACATAGTTTAAGAGAGATCACATAAGACAGTGCTGGATTCATTCACCAAAAGGTTTCAAGCTCTTCTAAAGTCTCCTAATCCCTTGAGAAAAACAAACAGCACATGGTCAGAGTGGCCATTGGATTCAACTGCAATGATTCCGAGGCACTTGTCTGAGCATTGAGCCACAAGTAAACTTGACCTTAAAAACATAGTAAACCATACTGAATAAATCTGAGATAAGAACCTGAACTGAACCAATTGAAAAAAACCAGTAATCAATTCAAATGCAAATTCAACAAGTCTGAATGCAAACAATGAGCACAGAGTCATACAGCTGGAATAACAAATGGGAGGAGAACTGGAGTTGAGTCAGTTACAGATACCATACTGAGCCTGGCCACTCTGCTAATCTGTACAGAATAGATGTTTTCTACAGAGCCATGGATGCCCCACTTCAGTTCAGTAAGTCAGAGATTTGCTGTTTGGTTATCATTTCAAACTGGTTAAAAATCTGTTTGGTTTATGGAAGTTCTATCATCTCAACTTGCTGGATTGAGGTCCCACTGCATCAGCAATCCATGCATTGGAATACTGTTATGAAAAAAAAAAGCAAATGGGACAAGTGAGACAACAGGACCTTGTCCCATTTATAGGTGTGGAAAAGAAAATTTCATGCTCTTCAAATATGGAAAAATTCTCATTTTTTCACTTACATGCTTTTTTCTTAATATGGAAATATTCAGCATGTAAACGTTAAATCAACATATATATTACACAGAGAAATTATCAAACTTTTTATTTTATGGCCTTTGGAAGAGCAAACAACTTCATTGCACTCCATCACTAAATCTAAAAACGGCCTAGTGGAGTAGACAGGACGAGCCTGATGGGTCAGGGGTTGCACTCAAGCATTGGACTTTTTCCATTTCTTTGGTCCTATACATGTTTCTCTCTCTGCTTCAACCACACCATATTTTGCTACTTTTAACCACTCCCAGACAACCACCCAAAGCACTAGTGCATTTAAATTGTGGATGCTAAAGATGTAGGTGGAGAGAATTAGTTAAATAATAAAATTTTATTTAAATCCCTGAGGTTCCTCCTGGGGGGAAACATACCCCACAATTTGAAAACCACTGGCAAAGAGGGATAACCTTGTAATCACAGGAAAAACAGAAACAAAGAAAGTTAGATTTGGATACAAGGAACAATGCACCTAGTACTGTTAATTGCAGCAGATGTCTCCACACCAGTGCTATGTTTAGTAGCTGCAATGATGCATGTATTTTATGAATATATTGAACAGCATTTTTTCATCTAAATTAAAGACTTCAATACAAGGTTCATGGAAGTGAGACCTAGCATGCAATGAGCTAATGGGTATATAGACAGAGCAAGTTGATACAAAGAACTAGCCCCTGTTATCTCTAAAATGTATGGTAATGAAAACTGAAAACTTTCATGACACTGCATGAAATCAGATTCTCTTTATGCAAATGAAAATATTATTAAAAGTGATGCAGGACATGATTGGCTTCTGCTTCTAGGTGTTTTCCATTGCCCTCATCTACCACTCCAAGAGAGCAAGAAGATGAGTTGACTCAGGGAAGAAAAACTTGCAGGTTTCATTAAGGCAGAGCAAATGTCTCATGGTAGATATGCTAAGACAGCAACACCATTAAGTATGCACCTATATGGAAAAACTGTTCCCTCCACCTCCATGCATGAAGGATGCCATAAGCTATGCCGAAATACTTGGGGGAGTCCATCTTCAACCAGAGCTGGACATGTATAGAATCCTTTTAAAAAAAAAAAAGCAAACTAGGGAAAGTTGTGCTAAGGACTTGAAATGACTTATAATCCAGCCTAATCACTGGAACATGTTAATAACTAACAAAAAATTTTATTCCTCAATTCATCTACTTCAGTAGAATGAAGAAAACAAAGATAATTATCTGTATTGTCTTTTTTATGCCAATACAAACCAGCCTTGGGTCCAGATGGACCTCACATTAGAGGGCACAATATCTATAAACTACCAAATGAATGTAATGAGAATAGTTCAATCTCAAACTCACAGGAAGCATTGCCTCAGCCCACTCCCCATGACCCTTTTGCAGTAGTTTCATTCTCTCCAGGTCAGAACATATCTGTACATAATCCCCCACAGAAAACTGTTGGAGTGAAGTGAGATTATTTCCTTCTCCTGGTTGGGATGTCGACACAGTCCCACTCTGAGTACTGGGAACTGGACTGTTAACTTTTGTAAGGACTGCTGGATTGAATGTCCACCTATGGAGAGAAGTGCAATAAGATATCCTAATAGCTAATAATGCTTGTCACCATATGTTTGAAGGCACCTATCTGGTTATTGATGTCTAGTAGTGAATTATACAGAACTGGAGCAGACAGGATATGGAATGCTTTAGAAATCTAGCTTTGAAGTTATAGATGCTTCGAAAGTTTAGAACAACTGTGAAATGCTGAGGGATTGTCACAAATTGCACTCCTATTCCTAATTCTAATTGACTTCTATTTGAAGCAAACAATAAGATACCTATTGCCACTGGGATAGGAGACAACTATGTCATGGTCTTCATCAATTCCCACCACAGTTCCAGTGGTTCCAAGGCACTCAAACATGCCATCTGTCCAACCACCATGTCCATGCTGAAGGCTTTGAACAATCTCCAAGTCCAAGTCAACATTCACCTAGAATTGACATACAAACATCCTTAATAAAATCTTACTAGTCACATGAAATTCACATTTAACCAGGCTTATGCTTTCAAGAAGGAAGCAAAGAATCATAAAATTGGGATTTCATAGAGGCACAATATAGATCCCAATTTATTTTCCTTTCTTAACAGTTCCCTCCAAGCAGTGTTCATTTCCATGGTCCACAATGTAAAAGAAAGTGCCACAAGAAGCATGGAAAAGCAAATACCAGAAAGTATCCATACCATTGGAAAGAAACATGTTATTGTCATGGACAATGCAAACTACCTCTCACAATTAATAACAAAAATTCCAGCTATGGCATTGAAGAAAGTCTGGCTTTATGGCATCAGTGCAATCAGATGATACTATTAACACTCCTGGGCATCTTTAAAGAGAACATCATTTCTGGCAGATTAAATTTCTTGGAAAGGATGGATTGTAGTTCTGTGCCTCCCACACTACCATTGCATTTTCAATTTCTTCAAACTCAGAGTAAGCTGAAGATCACATTTAGGATGAGAAACAAAAATCCAACCTGAAATCATTAAGCGATGAATCAAATTCAGCATGCAGTGGATAAAACAATGAAAGATTGGTAAAATTGGTGAGTTCAGGATATGGAAAAGATAATTTAAAAAAGTACATCACACAAAATGAGAAACCAGGTTGGGAAATGGCACTTCTCTGTCTCAGGGAGAGGAATGAGTTTTGAAGCCCCCAAGTGGCCAAGTGGTGGTGCATCTATAGCCACATCAACTGAAGGAGTGTGGTTATAGATGTGCATACCATCAAAGGAGGTTAATGAAGATAAGGGAACCAGAAATGTTTGAACTCTGATCTGAACTCATTTTTCTGTTTATTTTGTATCTAGCATTGACTGAGTGAGGCAATATGGATCACCCCATCAGAAAATTTTGAAACATGGCAAGAAAAGAAATGAAATGAAGAACTAAACTCATGCATATGAAAGGGTGGATTGGGGATGGGGTAAGCCAGCAATAATATACTCAGCTACCTGCAAGTGAAATTTAAAAAATGCCATCAAAAAAGGTAATGTGTAACATTTGGATGATGGAATTGGAGTCCAATGTGACTTCACATAAATAAAACATTTATATCTCATTACCTAATTTGAATATTCATGTGCAAACATTGCTAAACAATTACAATAATAATAGTTTAGTGTTTAAATGCTTAAAAAATCAGCTAGAAATATAAATGCAATTATTGATTGTTTTTTCAAAGCAATGCATAAAAAAAAACATAATGGGGTCCAAAGTGACCCAATTTCCATTATCTGAAGGTTAAAGGATCAAAGGGAAATGATAAGCAGTGGCAGGGTTTTACTTAGAAAATATGAAATATGAGATGGCAATAAGGGATGCAAAAATGAAAATGTCCTGCACAAAATTTTAAATAAACATAATCATTACCAGCAGTTTACTTAACATTTGTATTTATTACACCTGTTTTCTGTGATGTTCATAATAATAGAGTAAATTCATATAAGTTCAGACAGCATCCATATTCAGACACTATAGCATACATTGTTACAAACTGAGCATTCATAGGGTAGCCCTCAAAAACAATAGCAAGGGGTTGTGGACATGTGGCATAGTGCATAATTTTTGCAATTTCACAAATCAAACATGCATATTTGTAAAATATGATTCATTGGAATTTGCAACTGGGGAATGCCATAATAATGCTTTTAATAATATCAGTAGTCCCTTGATGTCAGGAATAGACTGAATAACCCATATGTGAGATGTCTCATGAAGCTGAAGCAAGAGGGACCTGACATTGCAAAAGCTGATGATATGCTATGATGGATGCAGATGATCTTTCAGAAGAAAATATTGAGGAAAGGGGTCCCATTTGCATCACCTGACACCATTGCAAAAATTCATGAATGGTTCATGGAAAATGTACTTACTAGAAAGAAATGTTTCTGAAAATTACCTAACAAATGCTTAGTTTTGTAACAATGTAAATTATCATGTCCAAAAACTTGGATTGTCTTACCTTATAAGGCCTATTCCTCAGAAACCTCTATCACAAATCAGAAGAGTTTGGAATAGGTGCTGTAGCATTGTGGATAAGATTACCATTAAGACAGCATTGGTATATGGACAGATATGGTCTTACATCTGAAGGCACATTATGCAGTGAGATGAAGATCAAGTTTTACTGGACTGTGTTTGTTTCCAATGGAAGCTGCTTGATACCTGGTCTCCAATATTGATTCCTCCAGGTCCAGACTGAGAAGATGTCTGTTCTCCAAGGTGTGGCAAATGGTCCCGATAGACAGTTCCTCCCTTAGCATCATTAATGACTTTCAGATCTGCCTGAAAGGTGAAACAGATACAAAAATAACATTTTCCAGAAGTAGATGGAGTAAAAGACAAACAAGGACTGAGACTAAGCATTGATTATATACTATTCCCCACAAGATTTCAACCAATATACATGCAAATTTGTGAAACTCTGGGAACATGAAAGCTGATCATGACCTTGAAAAAATAAAAATCTGATCCTACTGGTGCTCAAATGGAGAAAGTTTCTTGCAAGATCTTCCAAGGTGAAGAATGAGACAATGCTCCTTGAACTCAATAAATTGAAAATACTGAGTAAGGCATAAAAAAAGCACCCTTCTTCAAAACTTTTTGCCATTCGTGAGACAGCATATAGCGCAACATATATATATTTTTTTTTAATGACTTGTATCTATCCTCAATACAACCTAAAATCTTCCATCCTCTTCTAAAATCTTCAAATCTTCTTATCCATTTTCCTCCAGCCATTTTAATAAAATTTCAATTCTACAAACAAAACTTGAATATCAATTTTACACCATGATGAACATCAATGGCAAATTGGTATATGTGTGCAGTTCACATCAACTTTGGGCCTCTGCTCATCATTTTGTCTATGGGAATGGTATCCTCTGCCAAAGAAAGAGCAGTGAGCTAAGTCTGTTGTCTTGAAAAAGGACAGGGAGCAAGAATTTCCTGGTAAGAAATGGAAGATATGTGAGCCTATATGTTAACAGACTGATACACAAGCTGCAAGAAACTTTTTCTTCTGAGAGGAAGCATGAGAGCACCAGGCAAATATGACCTAATGTTGAAATGACTTTAATCATATGGAAGAATAAACTGTTGTCCCACATTCATGATCCAGGGAAGCAAAAGTCCCTGCTGTGAATTGTTGGAGACTTGAGAGTTGAAGGTATTTTCAGTAGTTTTCAATATGCAGAGGGGATAAAACAAACAACTATCATTTCCTTTGTAAAATTGGTCATGTAAATTAGCTGGAGATGAGTGGACAAAAATTATTAGGTTCTTTTTTTAAGATAAAGAGAAAAAAAAAATTGCTACAATAACTTTATCTGTTATCTGATTAGCAGCAAAAAATTTCAAAGAGCAGCACAATTTTTACAACTTAACTGGTAAAAAAAATGGCTGAGTCTATGGTTTCTTCTAGGAAAACTCTGGAAAAACATCCTTAAGATTTTTAAATACCTCAGTCATTGATTGATGTACATGAAACCCCAACCACATGGCCTTGCTTTGGGTAGTATCTTTTTGCAGTATAACATATTCCAAAATGCAGAACTTTTAAACATTCAAGGAAAACCAAGGGGCACATGACCTCTGAGGTTGACATTTCACAAGAAGTAATAAGTTCACTATTTCATACAAATCATGGAATTGAAGAAGTCAAGAGGCATTGGACATACACATGACCTGGCAAAAGTACATCAATATGCCTAAATAAATGTACAGGTGATTTGTGTTGGTTCCACATGAGACTTGAGATATCTTTCCTCCTCTCATTATTTAAGGGAGTATTAGATGCAGCAGTTAGGCAAAGCATCCTAAAACACAGGAGCTGCATGAAAGTATTAGCTCACCATTCCTTCAAACCCAACTCTGTAGAGATTCTTAGAGCCATTATCCCATATGACATAAGCTGCTGAACGAGGAGAAGCAGCTGACCAATCCTGTATCTCAGTGACTTTCCCTCGTCTTCCATTTCCACCATCCTGGTCTTCCCATTGCCAATCAACTCCACGAACTACACGAGCTCCAGGGAAAATCCCTCTAAATCCAACCTTCTTAGATTTTCTCCTTGGTTCCAGGAGGACTCTATGCATCCAAGAGACAAGGCTTCATTCAGTAATCATCAGCAACAAGTTGTCAAATGCCTGGACTTTCCAAGGACAGAAAAAGCTCTTGTTTGGGAGCAGTGCTTCTGGCATACCTTTCTCCACCAGGATGGGTGATTCTATAAAATCGGTGCCGCATATTATGCTTGTCTCCATGATAGCAAAGGGAGCAGAGATCATAGTTTTGGCATTCTGCACATTTCCACCTGATGCCAAAGATGGGCTGCTGCTTGCATGTATCACACATTGTGCCATCATGCTTGACACCTGGTATGATGCAGAAGTACCAATGAGATGCGGAAATTAGGAAAATGAGGGGGAAAAAAAGGCTTTAATGACTCACCTGTAGGGGCACTGTCAAGGATTCGCAGGTCATAAGCACCAGAACACCTGTAGTTTGCAGCAGTTCCATTGTCCCATACAACTACAACTTCCTCTGGAGATTCAAAGTTTCTAACTGTTCCAACATGACCTTCTCCACCATCCTATTTGTTGAGAGGAATAATTTCATCAAAACTTTGTAGCAAGGAGACCTAAAAGGACACTCTACTATGACTGCAATTGAGATTGAAAAGAGGGATTTATTGATATATTGCCTTATCCAAGCATCCATAAACTCTTAGAGCAATGATATCACTGTACCAGGTTGTCTCTTCACTCAGCTAATAATGTATACAGAGCTAAAGACCTTTCAGGAGCTATGTCACAATGTCCATTGTACAGTGAAGTTCATTGGTAGCCCTCAGAATGCTTCACTGGTACACATTATATCTCAAGTAGAACATAAAATAAGAATTGACTCTTCAAAGGACTAAGCCCTTTTTGACAAGGCAACAGTTGCAACAGTGGGAATAGAGAGAATTCTTATTACACACACCAGAAAAGATAGTACTGAAATGGATTTGATACTGCAAATGACAATGAACCAAGAAATACTAAATCACCCATGCTTCTTGCATGTTGCATGGGGTGACAGTGGGATGAATTTTGCAGCAACATTCACAAAAAACATAAAACCTCTTTTGTATTCATAGTGCCAAATTGTTTGGGTCTTCTTAACATCGCTGAGTTGGAACTTCAGATCATCATGCCATGCTTAGCCTACCAGGCCTAGGAATTATCCTCCTTCATTTTCACATCAATGCTGATATAAATGTATATGTTATAGTCCAATCATCTGTAGCCATCATGATCCTCAAATGTTGTAACTATGCTAGATAGGCAATGTTGCTTCGCTCTGTAAAATTGTAGAAGTTGATGGACAATTTTTTTTCCATAACTCTGAGCACTGACATGGTCAGTACTACTCATTTCCTTCATTTGAACAGCCCTCCAGGGCTGTTTCATGATCAAGGCTTTCTTCTACCCATAATGAAGCTGTAGCTTCAAAGCCTGCCAAACAAGTCTTTCAGCTTGAATTTTATTCAATACAAGAACTCATACAGATGAGTTTTCATGCTATCACATACTGTTAGGCTAGATAAGGTTAGGTTAAGCAAAGTACTGTTTTATTTGATAGCATATTTGAATTATTTAAGTCACATTTATTAGTTTCTCATTTTGATCCAAGGTTTTGGAAGGCATTTGCAGATTTCTAAAGAATTCGATTACTCCTATCACTTGCACAGCTCATGCCAAATTTCATGAGATGCCAACAAATACAAAGGCAGTATGTATAGGCATCATTTCACATTACTTTTTCCAATAACACTGTCAGAAGCATTTTCTTATGATTGTTATTGCTAGTCCTATTTTTTTGGAGGACACTGTATTAATCAGTATGAATATCATAGCTATCCCTCTAGGCTAATTTTCAGAATATGCCTATAGTTAATTGAACTTAGGGTTCCATAGGCCAACATGAGAGAGAGAGAACATTTTTTTTTTTAACACTAGCCTGTTTGCCCCACTTCCAGTCTTGGCCTCTTATGACACGTGCACCAACACCTTCCATCATTACTCTTGAGGTCCGAACTGCAGCTGCTGACTTCCCATCCATTAGGCATGTCAAAGAGATCAAACCTGGCTTGAAAGCAATTGTGAATGCCAATTTCTTCTCTCTTCCCTAACATTGGTCAGCAATTGACCTATGGAAAAAACAGGGCAAATATAATTGAATGAATCTTTCACTACACTCAAGAATTTTCCTAATAAAAAAAGGCCACCTTTTTCTGATATGGTGATCATTCTAAATTTAAAAAATGGAATAAATGAATAATAATGAAGAGCAGATTCTTTGGAATTGAAGGGGCCTACATTTTCTAGCATTAAAACTAACGTGGCAACTGTAGTATGCATTGGTTTAAAGAAAAATAATAATTTATTTTTAAATGATAGCAGGAGATGGCTAAGTACATCCTTAGACTTTCCAAGGACATTGATTAAGCAAGTGTACCTTTGAAGGAAATGGAAGAGCAGGTACTTCATGGGCAGGCTTGAAGAACCTAATGAGGGTCCATTTCTGTTGTAGTGGATTGAAACTATTTTTGTAGAGGGCATCCAGAGTGGGTAAAGGCAGTTGAGGCCGATCTAACAAAACCTGGGAAAAGTTTGAGAATAAGGCAGTGGGAATTTTTGATGAGGTCATTCAGGGTAAGTGTGACGAGTATCCCTTTTCAATACTTACTATCACAATATGCCATCAACCAAGTATCCATAAAGAAGCACTCTGTGATGCCAATCATATCTCACATATCATTTCAAATTTAACTATTCCAACAGAGACATTTAATAGAGAGAATTTGAGTGACTCCCCCTCAATTCAAGTACTTAATTTGGGACACTTCTTTCAACATTCCTGGAACAATCAAAGAAAAATTCATTTGCAGCCTCATGGCAAATTAAATTCCATGGTCATTCAAACTGGTCCTATTCAGAGTTCTCATCTTGTCAAACAAGGGCATAGCAATGCTGATTGCAGTTTCCCTTTAAAAACAGGTATGGGAGTAGGTATGATCACTCTTAATGCAACCTTTCATCACCTTTAGTCCAGTTTTCATGTTTCATTCACTCTAAGAAGGTAGGGCTTCACTCAGATACTAATAATCAACTCTGTTCCTGAAGCTGAAGCCACTCTTTTTTTTTTGCAGAAGTTCCCTGTCTCATTGGCATGTTGCCTTTCTGCCTCTATATAATTTATGTAATGATAGGCTGCCAATGGGTATGGTTCTACATGTCTCCACTCAATACTTCTTTCATCCTCCTCTTTTGAATACGGCCTTGGCTAAAATAACTAGCCAAGAAATTTGCACCACCACAAACGTTGTGTGTATTATTTCTATCCTCAGTTAATGGAGATCTTGAAAAGAAAAGAACATTAGGCCTGTGGAGCCTATGTGAAAGGTGGCATTAATTCATTTAACAAGTCACTCCATCCACACTTAGTAAGATGTAGGAAGCCGAAGGGTCCAGTCTGAGTGAGCAAAACTATTTTCATGGTCCACGCAAATTATTCTTACCTTCGAATTTCCGATGAACGTCAAGAAACTTCCTAGTGTGGGTGCTTTTGACGACGATGAACTGGCCGTCTCAAGCCATAGATATGGCGGCTTCCAGTCAGCACGCGCAACTCATGTGTGACTGTGCCGATTCGAGGCCTATCCACAGGCCTAAGGTTAGACCTCATCTGAAATGGAATGTGGTTGAAACGTATGGTCTACAGGTGAAACAATCGGTCTAAATTTATTGACCCTCGTGATATCAACACCTAGAGCGATTTTAATCCACTGTTATGAGAGAATGTGAAGCTTAAAATATTCTGTCTCATCCTTTGATTGCGTTCAGCCAAGGGCGATTCTTGTTCTTACTATTCTTATTTCAATTCTTATTGTATAGGAATTGTTTCTTCCCTTGGCCAGGTGTGGGTTGGGACTATGTTCTACTTGAGACAAGGTCTCATCCTATTTTTTTTTTTACAATTTAAGGACCTTTTCGACACAATCTTACACAGCCTGGCTGCTGCCATGAGGTAACCTAAACTCTAAGGCCCGAATGCACAAACCTCATTTATAGGACATAAAGGGGCTTTTAAGCTAAACAGCTCTTTTTCCTTCATGGGAGTCCATGTGTTCTTAAAGGGCCATTAACTAAATGAGGTTTGTGCATTCAGGCCAAAATCTAGCTCTACGAAGTTAACTAATTATTATCCTTTGCATGTTGCAGAAATTACCAAAAGCTCTCAATGAAGGTAAGGATACCTTCAATAATCTAGTCAATTATTTAAATTATAGGGTATTCCTTCATTTTGTGCACACCTAGTTTGCACATACTTAGTCTTGTGCACACCAATCATGCACACTGGTAGTCAGTTGTGGGTGTCATACATGTGCATACTACAACCTACAACCATCACTTTAGAAGTGAGTGCTGTTCTCACAGACTCCCATGCATAACATGCTGCCCAATGTAGTGGCAAGCAGGTACATGTAGACATGCTGAATCTTAGCTCTCCGGAGGACTTCCTTGAGGAAGTTTTTCAACCAGAACAATGCTCAGTATATGGGGACCATGTATGGCAGTGATTTCCATCCAGGAATGAGAAATGGTAGAAGTATCATCTCAAAGGTGAGTAGATAGAGTGGCCATATCCATATCATGGACTGCCATTCTTCAGAGATTCAGAACTATGAAAATCCTGCTTCTGACACTGCATGAACATGCTTAAGCTTATGTAGGCAGGCATCATGTTTCACCTTCCCAATCCTGGATGAAAAGAAGGTGATAGTGCAGGGGAGGTGATAGGCCTGATTTGAAGGAAAAAGGCAATCATATCTCTTCTGGGCATGGGCAACAAGGTCTACTGGGCATTCATCCTGCTCACCATTATGTCAGGCAGCACATTCCATGTTGAATGTGGGAGTGGAGGTTCAGTCATCATTGGAAAATAGTGTGCACATAATGAAGTTGAGGTCTATGTGCAGTGTTCACAGGATTTGACAATGTGCACAAGACAAAGGAATTTTTTCCTTTGTTTATCACAAAGTTTATCACATTTTTGTATTAGCACAGTTTCATTTTATCTCCAGCAAAATATAAACTGTGATTTATTGAGCTCTCTTAAAATTCAAACAGCAATAAAGAAAACCCAAGAGAATTATTAACTGTCTTCACTTTATATGTGGAGTAAAGACACTCTCTCTATAAAGAGAGCTAATTGCTACTTCATGCTATGGGATTGATTAGAAAAAATATTTATAATTTTGATAACTTTGGCATGATACTGAGCATCATAGTATATAGAGAGCTGAAGAGAGACACCATCACATTTAAGTGAGTTTGTGACTATGGATTATTATGAATTATTATGATTTTATTATGATTATGGAACAAGGTATTCAAGTTATATAAACATAAAAACATTGCAGTAAGAACTAATCATGGTTACAGATCAGTTATAAGTGCAGCAACAAGTTGTTACAAATCCTTGTCAATTAATATGTAAAAAAAATTACCATCTGAGAAACTGTTAAAGCCTGAATCTCCTGGAAATGTGAGGATCCAAAAATAAAAACTTATTTAAATGTTTATAAGTTATTATTTCAACCTAGACAACCCAGAGCAAGCATTCAGGTTCTTTGAAAATCCTAAAATAGGCCCTTTCTGTCAATATTGATATTCATAGTCTATTTCAATTAGTATTTTTTCATCCCATTAGTTACTTACTTGAAGCATCTGTGGTGAAGGTTAATCAATCAAAAAATTATAACTGCATTGCAAACAAGAATCCTAAATTGATTTTCTGGGGCAGGAGAAAATAGCAGTCTGCATATTGTTATCATTCAAGTCAGATATTTTTTGTCTCCATATATAAAGATGGAACCATGGAGGAATAAAATTCCAATTAAAGGATTAAATTATGTATAACTCACTAGATTTGTATTTTAAATAAATTGTCAATTATATTTTATCAACTGCTCTGAGAACATAAGAAACTTTTTAAATGTTGATGTTTATAAATGTGAATAGGCATTCAAAATCAGGAGTAAGTACATGAGCAGAGAAACTCCCAGGTCATGATGATTCGACTTGTATTGAGCGTGGGATCCTATCATGGAGTTTTAGTGCTGTGACTGCAACACAAGTGGCATATTCAGAACAGAGATGTGGTTGAACTCTTGAAGCCATTATTGACGTTCTGCATTTCTTATTTTGGTTTTGGCAAGGGTTTCTCTTAGGTAGCATAGCTTCACAATCACCCTCTAGCTTTTCCCTTTGGAGAAAAGAGAGCCAAGATGAGCAACTTTGTAGTGATGTCATGCGCTCATAGTGGCAAGAGAGCAGTAGCCTGCAGAATTAGACAGAATTAGACCAGAATGACATTCTCCATTGGGTAGCTTAACTGTGGAACTAGTTTATATATTCAGTAAAAGCTATGAAGCTTAACCACCTGTATCATGTACATGGACCAATCCTGGGTGACTGGGTGTCGGTGGTTAGACCTCATTTGGCCTTAATGATCATGGTTAGTTATGATTTTGGTCTTACAGTATTTTTCGCTTGACTTAGACACTATTGCATGGGATGTTCCTTATGCATGAATGTCTGAGTCAAAGTGAAATTGTCTAACTCAAGTGAAAAACACTAACACTTGCACTTGCACTTGTACTTTACCTTAGCCCATCATATCATTCAGTGAATCAGGTATTTGTTTATACTATATTTTGCAGGGTCTAATGTTTGGAGGCAATGGAATGTGACACCAATTTTCCATGTGATATTGAGGAATTAGTTGATCCAAAGAACAACTTTGGAGGTTCTGTTGATGACTTCACCAAGTCACAAGCATTTTGTACTGTTCGCTTGAAACAAAGGCCGAAGAAGGTCAAGTTGGCAAAGCAGAGTTTGAACTATAATTGCTCCTTGCTTGAGCACCTGTCAACTCCTAAAATTGAGGGAAATTCAGCCAACTTTAAGTCCAATTATGTCCCAAGTTATTCTGAAGACAAGTCTTCTCAAGAGAGAGACTTTGGAGAAGTAAGTTCTGTGCCTGGTACAGAGAAGATCTTTGTCAAGACATGGGGCTGCACACATAACAATTCTGACAGTGAATACATGGCTGGCCTGCTTTCTTCCTATGGGTATCTGATAGTGGGTAAGTTGCCAATAGGACTGCTAAAATTTTTCACTGTGATTGGTGTATTTTTTATTTCAGGTATGGTAGGCCTATGCCAAAAGACTGATACCTGTACTTTCATTGAGGGTAGTCCTTAATACAAATCTCTCAACTGTATCAATTATATGACTCTCTGATTGATTGTTATCCAAACCTATGAACAGTTTCCACGTATCTCGATTTATTCAAGATAACAGTGGCATGGATTGTCAAAGATGTCCACAATATGTGCAGTCACATTGAATGAAATAGGTGCATGAAACAATTCTAGACAGTACTAATGTGATGAAAATCTCTCATGCACCTATCCCTGCTACAGTAGTCTCAGAGTCACCCATGTACAAGATGGGCCAAAAAAAATTTTCAGTTATCTTAAACACTTAACAGCCTAGTTTCTTGAGTGTTAAAAAATATTTTTTTTTCTATACAAAACATTTACCTAGCTTCCCACTGATATCAAAAGATTTCAGATCCAATTTATCATTCCAATGCAGTTATGTGCAATGTAACAGAGGTAGTGCTTGAAAAGTGCACTTATTAGTACAATATGGGATTTGCTCCAGGTGACGTCCATTATTTCGTTTATGGTGAGTAGGCAACCTCTTGCATGCACTGGGTGAAATTGCAGTATGGTACCAACTTTTCCAGTGCCACCTCTTATACTCTTTATCTAACTGTGTGGTAGTTAGGCCACAAATCTTTATCTAGTTGACATCATTCGAAAGCCAAATTAATGTTCTATATGGAGACACAATTATAATTTTAGCAAACTCTTGGAGACCTGTGCTGTGGAGTGATCAAGATAACCGAAGTTTTTCTTGGCCCATCCTGTAGATATTTCAGAAACACATTCAAGTTTTTAGTGCCTCTTTGAGTAACGTTTCCCAACTGGTGTGCCATGAGTGAAATTCTGGTGTGTGGTGACCTTTGAGAGTTTACCTTAAAATTGATCAAAATTTGTTTCAGCATGGCTGATAGGATTCTGTCCTTCCTTGCATCAGGGTCTAGGCATAACTAAGAAAAGAAGACTTGCACTTTTTAGATGTAGACCCTATTTAAATGTTTCAGAGAATCCTGTGGAGGCTGACGTATGGTTGCTTAACAGCTGCACTGTAAAGAGTCCAGCAGAAGACCACCTCAGGTCAGGTGTATTTTTCCAACTCACATGTATTTTGATTTATTTTTCAATTCTGTGGGCCAATGCAAATATACTCACATTATTTCATTAGAGTGTTTCACAAACTTGACTGAACCAAGTTCAAAAAGGAGCATTAAAATCTTCTGGAACACTTAAAATGACCTTAATTAACTCAAACTCCTATTCTCTAAAAGGGGATGTCTTGTTATTTTGGATATGTGGAGGTGGGGATATGTTCCACTTTCATTCAGTAAATTAGGATCACTTGTGCTTGACGTAATGCATTCTGTTAAATTGTCAAAGCAGAACTGAAACCAAAAAAAAATTGTGTTTCTGACAAGGAATTGAACCTAATTTGAGTCATTCATATGTCCTCCATCTCAAACTCAAACCCAATCTGGTGCAACCCAAACAATATTATATCCCCATAAAGCTGGGTTTGTGCTATGCAAATAGTGATAGATGACAGCCCATTAGAAAATTGCAAAACTGTATTTTGTAAACCATTGTACTTAATTGAACTGTTGCACGGCAGGAGCAGTGATGTGTGTATATGTTGTCACATGTTATATAGATATATAACACAAGAACATAAATGCCCTTACAAATTTAGTCTTCCATGCATGAAGTGATGCATAACATAATGCACTTCATATGAATGGTTTATATGTTATGTTGTATGTTCACTACATGGTTCTATATGCTCTTGAGCAAGCCTGGATACATACTTATCTCAGCATGAATGGTTAAGTAGTAGGAATAGGATGGTGACCAGCCAACATAATCATTTATAATCATAAGGCCAAACTCTTGTTGGGGTTGTAGCAGTGGGTTTTTTCCCTATCATTGAGGCATTCAAATATTATGTGCTTCACTGAAGGTATATTAACTGGAGAACTTGGCAATTCAGTTTATTTTCAATAGGTACTTTACACATCTAATATACAGGTATATGCAAGAATTTGTTTTGCTCCAGTGAATCGGGCAGAAGTAGGTGAAACTTGCTGCTGTGATGTTCAGGAAAACTCAATTTTGATGTTTATACCCTGAGGGCAAACTATTTGATTGGGACCTTTTTCCCAAAGATATTTTCACTGCAGCGAGTTGGGCAAAAAATAAAAAACTAATATTTGGAAAGGAGGTTGTTCTTGGGTTTTTTATATTTAAGGAAAAATACTATTTTGAGGTGTATGCCATCAGGGCATATCTTCTGGGGGGCAATAATTTTTTGGAATTTTTTGCACAGAGAAAAATGGAAAAATGGAAATGTAGTTTTTACTTTTTGGTTCATCCTCTCAGGGCACATTTTTCGAGAGGGAGGTATTGGAAAGAAAATTTTTAGGTTCCATGGAAGTGAGCAAATATTGAAAGTGGGAAATTTGATTTCACACCATCAAAAGTAACTTGAGGCCACAATGTAAAATGTTCATCACTCAAGGAGTTTTACCAGATTGGTTGGAGTGAGAATAAAAAATGGATCCTTAAGAATGCATTTTAAATTTTCTTAGAACTTAAAGCACCAAAGGCATGTCCATAGCAAGTTTGTTTGCACAAAGGGCAAACAAACTTGGTAGTTAATATATATTTCTTAGCCTTTGTCTCTGGCATTCATCTTAATGAAGTCTAAAGGAACTTCCAGTTGTAACCCTTTTTGCTGCAGAATGCCCATTAGATCACATGTTGATTAAGTTATAATTTTTTACTTCATCTGCAGTAATTGCAAAACTAGGAAGACCATAGAATTGGCTGTTGAGCCACTCTCTATTGATACTACTGCTAGCCCTTTGGAGGTCATGACTGATGGGAAAAGGTTGTAAGCTCCGGTTTTGTAACAGAAGCATGTATTTCACAGTGCTTTTTATGCTTCAGCCTGCAGTGAAAATTGCAGCAAAAACTCAAGGTCTAGCTAAAACTAGTTTATGAAACCCATAGGCCTGTTTCCCAATGTTGCAGACTCAGTTGTGAAGGTAATCGACTAATACAATTAGGCTACATTCCTCTGTCATTTGGTAAAAAGTGTGATTATTTTCAGACAATGTGACCCTTGATCTTATCATTTTCTGTTAGTATACAACTTCAAGGGATATCCCATTTTGTGCAATAGATTAGTAGAGTAGATTGAGTAAAGAAAATTCCTTGTATATAAATTATTTTCTGTAAAAGTTTGAAAGCCTCAACCAGGTTGCCATTCAAAAAACTTTCCTCTGCAGTATCAACAATTTTGTTTTCTGAAAATACACTGTTTTAGATTGAATTTGTTGCCCCCCCTGGGTAGGGGAGAATGGAGAAAACATTACTTCCAGAGGATCTGCCTAAAAATCATCCTTGTGAATGGTGTCACTACTTTTAATTGATGGAAGCACTTATATGGGGGCATACTGATTCAATCCTAAAACAGTGTATGGTTTTCTAATCATGGATATTACAGTCTTACTGGAAACCTTGCTACAGAAAACTTAATGAACTTATATTACTCTTGGCTTGCCATGATCCAATGTGACAATGATATTTCAATTGTAAGTCTCTTCCATCCTACTCTAAAGAACTCTCCATAATTTATTTAATTGCTGCATTTTGTCCAGCATGTCAGACAGAATACGAGCATGAGAAATGGAAAAAACAATAATCCATTTTGTACTGAAGGTGAAGGAAACAGTTCACAATTTACTCTGGGAGCCCTTGGCACCTTTGTTCATAGCATTGGGTACAGTCTCCACATGCTCTTTGCATTCTTCCATAGGAGGGGCAAGGCTTTTCATAGTGGTACACATTTTGTGCTGATTGATGTGAAAATATGTTGTGATTACAGAAATATTTTACTGTGGAAAAAAGTCCATAAAAGCATGAAAATGTGGGTGAGCATTTTGAAAACTGAATGTGAAAATGGAGGGATTTTGTCACTATTGGTACTGAGTAATTTTATTATTCCTGCTATTTCATTATTTTGCACGCAGTTATTTTCTGGAGGGGAGGGGGGGGGGGGGGGGGGTAACATTCATGCATGTAACTGAATTCAGGTTTTGGTGTTTTTCTAGGAATGAGATCAAGAAGGGTAAGGAGCTGGGGAAGATGATTGTCATTGCTGGATGTGTCTCTCAGGCAGCTCCAAGATCTTCTTTCTTGAAAGGACTCAGTATCATTGGAGTCCAGCAGATTGATAGAGTTGTTGAAGTTGTTGAGCAAACTCTCAGAGGTATGACTTGACAAACCCATCCTAGCTTAGCCTGACTAAGTTGACCAACAATTCATAATTTTCTGAGACAGATGTAAAATTAGAGGTGCATTGTAAGAGTGGAATTCATGAGAGTATCTTTTCAGTAGGAGGCATTGCTTAATAGCTTCTCACTATGAGCAATTGCAAGGGAGCGTGAGATAATAGGTGGCTGGCTCAAATGGCCAAAGCAAATATAGCAAATGCTCCATTCCAAACTGGGTTCCCATGTGCAGCTAGTTCTAAGAGACAAATATGGTGGTAAATGAGCAGATATGGTGACCCAGTGGATGTGATTAAATGATAACATGAAACGGATCAATTATATTGGTAGGGATCCTGGCCAATGCTAGGAGAATTACAAACAGGATTATGGTTTCAAGAGTGACTTCTTTCCTGTTCCACTGGCAAGTATCACATTGTCATGGGAAGACACGGGAGTTTTGTTTATTCCTGTTCCCATTGCAGAAGGCAGTGGTATATAGGAAGAGAGATTCATCTCCTTTTTTTTGCTGAAGAAATCACACTTTAAAGCAGGGGTTCTTAACTTGGGGTCTATGGGGTAGGTCCAGAGGGTCCATGGAAAATCAAATATATAATTGAATGTAGCTCCTGAAAAACATCATTTATAAACACAAATCCAAGTGTTCCAAAGTTTCTGATTACCTGGGGGGGGTCTGTGGGGGTCTGTAGGTGCAGAAAGGTTAAGAACCCCTGCTTTAAAGGGAAACTAGTTAGTGCTGCATGCCCCACTTTGGTGTTTTTTAACATGTTGGTTAATTTGTGGTCCTCAGGATGCATGAAATGGTTCATACCTTCATGTTAACCTCCTTAGACTCAAAAAAATTAAAAACTCATGATTTGGCACATGTATGTGCCATCCAGCTATTGGAGGTTATGGATGGCTGGTTTGTTTTCTCTGGATGAATCTTATGATAGGGTACTGGTAAGAGAATTAGAATGGTTCATTTCCAAACATAATGTGTAATAGAAAAGTTTTCTGCCTTTGATCCAAATTCTGTAACCTCATACTTCACTTGTAATTTTGTCATTATTTTATTTTAAATGTTTAAATGCTGGCAGATGCCAATTTGAGCATCTCTGGTGAACCAAAAGTGTATGAAGAGATAAAAGATTGTGTTTGGTATTAATAAATAAGTAATGCTAACAGGTGATTTAAATACCTTCCATTACACTGTTATTTGAAATGTGGGTACATTTTTTTGGGTCACCCTATATATTGTCTATAATATATATATCTATAATATATATATTACATACATTATATAGTCTATATATATTTTCCATTTGCAACTTTGGCTTCATCTTTGCCTGTTTCTTCAGGTTTTTTTAGAGCTGCTCCTCAGTAAAACATGATCCAAAAACCGTTCTCCCCTTCTAGCAATATCATCTGTTACCATGCCACTATAGTGTAAGAAAACAGAACGCATGGCCTTAGTGATGATGCTTGTTGTGACTGTAGTGCAGGGCTTCCCGACCCAGGGGTCACGAACCAGCAACTAAATGCAAAGTTACGTTTTTCTTTGCGATTTTAGGGCATAGGTAGGGGAGCCTGTCTAACTTCGTTCAGTGCATGGGGTCGTGAATAGTATGAAAGTGATTTTTGGGGTCACACATGGAAGAGGTTGGGAAGCCCTGCTGTAGTGGAAGCCAGCTACGTGCTGGTCTTTCAAGATTTGAAGAAGCTTATTGAAGACATTTTTGTGGAGGTTCAAGTCTGTGGTTGCTGGTTTCCACTACAGTCACAACAAGAACATCAAACAGTGAATCAAAGAAGCAATCAATGTGTTAGATTATAATGAACACTGGTCCCAATCAGCTTTTGGTAGCTTGAGTGCTCAATGGGAGGAGGTCTATGAGCTGGATTGAGAATTGACTAAGCATTAAATTCAGGGATTAGAAGTCCTGTTTTGTAGGCTTTATAAAAGAGTTTGAACTTCAGATAAATGCATATAACTTCATCCAGATGAGAGATTTTCCAGCAAACATAGGCTCAGTCAAAAGATCTTGTCAAGAGTTTTCCGAGAATTTACATATTTGCATGGTTTACACTACTGGATGCAAAGACACAGCCTATTGAGGAAAAAACTGTTTACTATATGTTACTATGTATAACCACCCTGTACATCTTGTGTTAACCTGTGCTTAAAGCATAAAGGTGGAGCATTTTTCAATAAGCTTTCTCCAGTTCAATGACAGGCAAATTCTTCCTCTCCTGAAGCATTTAAAAATTAAATTATGTCTTTTTGCCAGAATCGTAAATGTTTCAGTTTGAACTGCCTCTGAAATTATTTAAAACTATGTTTTTTGGGGAGTTTGTGGGCTATTTGGCAGAGATGTAGCTGAAGAATTGATTGTGACACTGTATATAATTGTGGCCATAGGTGGGGAAAGGGAATTTGAATTCTCAGCAGCTTCTGGTTGGAACTTCAATGAACTTTGTAACAATGAAAAGCATTTAATTTTATCTGTAATTTTTGTTGTTATAGGCATGTTTTCATGCCATTTATTAGCAACTTGAAATCGTTTTCCAAATTTGAAGGCCTATGTATCAATAGTGTATTTCTATCCCATGTCAATAGCATCTTGACCATGGTTTCTTATTTTCCCACATGGTCACAAGGAAAAGTAGGAGTATTGCTTGAAAAGGTCTAATGCCAGGGCATAAGAAATATTAAAGTGATTATGCATGTGCTGAATGGTTTGCTTCACCCTTCTCCTCATTTCTGGTGGGAAGTCTCCAAGAACTCCAGGTCCCTTGCTGATGTGCTCACATGTATATTTGGAAAAACAGCACATAGGAAATGATCTTTCCCTTCCAGAATTGTTACATATTGTGTGTTCCTCTACATCACAGGAAATTCAGTTCGGTTGTTAGGATCCAGAAGAGAAAATGGAAGGAGGCTAGGAGGTGCTGCTCTTTCCCTCCCAAAGATTCGCAAGAATCCCCTGATTGAAATTATTCCCATCAATACTGGTTGCTTGAATCAATGCACCTATTGCAAGACAAAGCATTCAAGGGGAGACTTGGGAAGCTACAGCATAGGTCAGTTTGTTGTCACAAGCATTCTACCCACTGTCAAGCTAGTCTTCACATCTCAGGATTGATGGAACTGGATATGTGAATACCATTGTAGAAGAGATTGTGATCCGAGCCAAAGAAGCAATCAGTGAAGGTGTGGTTGAGATTTGGCTCACATCAGAAGATACAGGAGCCTATGGAAGAGACATTGGCACTACTCTCCCAGATCTCTTACAAGAATTGCTTAAAGTCATCCCAGGCCATTGCATGCTTCGCATTGGGATGACAAATCCACCCTACATTTTGGATCATCTAGAGGTGAAAATTTGGGGGGAAATTAACAATTAATATTTGCACTAATTTGGGAGATTATTTCTTATTTTTCTTCATGCTGTAGGCAATGGCTGAAATCCTGAATGCACCCCAGGTGTACTCCTTTCTCCACATCCCAGTCCAGTCAGGGAGTGATGCTGTTCTCCTTGACATGAAGAGAGAATATTCCATTGCAGAATTTGAACATGTGGTTGACTATCTGAAAGAGAAGTTTGTACACTTTCTTACTGAACTACTTGCAATTTTATGCCAATTTTTAGTAAGATTAGTACCATCATTTTACAAAAAGGACTACTCATCTGCAGTTTTGAATCTATCCAAACACTGAGACTGCTCTTAGGCTAAATACATCCAAACCCAGAGACTGCTTAGGATGGAACATATTGTAATTTCAAGGGTCCCGGGAATTACAATTGCCACAGATGTGATATGTGGCTTCCCGACAGAGACTCCTGAGGACTTCACATGCACCATGGCATTATGCCACAAATATTGCTTCAGTTCTCTCTTCATCAATCAATTCTATCCTCGACCTGGGACACCTGCTGCTCGCATGCCCCGCATTCCAACTCAAGAGGTGTGTGCCCTTCTGTTAATTCATTGTTTTATTAAGTCAATGACTCATGCCTCATTCCTATTCTTATGCAGGTGAAACAAAGGAGCCGTGAACTGAGTGAATTCTTCCAGTCATATCATCCATACAAAGACCGTGAGGGTGCTGTGTACAGAGTCCTCATCACTGATGTGGCACATGATAAGATGCATCTAGTGGGCCATAATAAATTCTATGAGCAGGTTGGTGTGTCTTAGTTTTGGGTTGTTTCATGTCTTCTTTTAATGTTGTTGAAATGAAACAAGAACTGGCTCGTTTTTCAATGGGGTGAACTTAAGTAGGAATGCTTCAACTGCTCTGATTATAGGCCTTGTTATGATACAATCAGTCTTATCAACAAGGTGGGATGATGTCAAATGACCTTGGAACAGTGCCAGCTGCTGCAGGGAATTTCATCCCCTTAGTCCCTGTCAGGCATCAACTCTTCAATCCCATAATTACAGGTCCTGGTGCTTAAAGAAGATGCTCTCATGGGACAAATGGTGGATGTGGAGATAGTCAGCACAGGAAAGCATTACATGATGGGTATTCCTGTCAGGTCTTCTCAAGGTCATGCCATATCATCATGGCTTTCCTTGTCATCCTCATCATCTGTGCCTCTTGGAATGCTATGTGTGATGGTGGCCTGTGTTGCCAAGTGGCTTAAGGTTGTTTTGACTTGGGATCAATAACAGTGGCTGTGCTTTATATGTTTGGTCATTTTTTAATCATTTTCTGCCCCTTCTATCATCCATCAAGCCTGGCTGGTATTGGGCAACCCAGATTTCTATCATAAATGAAGGGGTAGACTTGTATTGTAATATTCAAACCAGATATGAGCACCAGTTGTGCATAAGATATGAAAAGGGCTTAGTTCTCTCATTCATCATGTCTAGAGCAAATTGGAAATTAAGAAAGGAAAAGGCACTTGGAAGTGTGTAGGAGACTAAGGACTTAATGCTTCAATCCTCACATTCTCCTAGGATAAATAATGATTATCTCCAAAAAATGTGATGCTAGAAAAACTGGCTTAATCCCTTAACCAGGGAATTTTTTTCTGCATATTGGAGAGAATTTCTGCTACATACTGGGGAGTTTTCTTTCTGTTGCATGTGCTCATTAGTGGCATATCTCTAAATATGCAGAGTACGCATGCACTTCTTGGCATCCACTCAGAATTTTGCCAGCTATTTAACACAGGATGTCTAAAGGTGGTGAGTGCAGTGCTAGGGTGGAAATTTTAATGCAAGAGGCAGTCACCCCAATTCAAGGTGTTTTGTTTAGTTTTTTTTTTAGTTAATGTCTAAAAATATAACTTTATTCAGGCTTTGTCAACCAAGACAGTACTGAATATATTCTGCAAGATGGCTTATATCATGGAAGAATGCAGCTGCTGGGTGCACTTCCTTATGATTCTGATTCTTTTTCAGGACTTTGCAAAAGCCCTGAAAAAGAATCAGAAGAACCTCTTGCATATTTCATACTTCTACTAAGCCTTTCTTTGAAACTATTAAAAATATTGATGAGAAATTTGTGATGGAAGAATGGATGTTTCTAACATCTGAAAAAATGAATTTTTGATGCTGTAAAAACTATTTGTATTCTGTCCATTACTCTTGAATTTATTTTGCTCTCTATAGACATAGATGTACCTGTCTGACTCAAAAAAAGGAATGCTACATGGAAACCTTTAGTTCCAGCTTTCCAATAGGTATACCAGAATCAAAAATAAATTACATGAGATGAGAGTTATTAGGATGGGACTTCTGAGAAACAAATTGCAGTAGGTGTAAATACAATTAAGGAAAGCCTGGGTTTTGTTTTGATTCTTATATATTCTGCATGTTGTTTCTATAAATTATGACATTTCTAAATAGTAGATTGGGAATAGCAGCATTTCATTGTTAGCCTCCTTTTTTGTCCATACAGGGTGACATGAAATGATGTGCCCAGGTCATAGTGCAGGTTCCTGAGAAAGTCCTAGTTTTTGTTATTCAATGAAGAATTTAAATCTGCATTGGGAAACCAAATTTGATATAATTTGGTTGATTTGTTGCAAAGTTATAGATATTTTCTAGTTTTTTACTCTTTAATTCAATCACAATGAAAAAAAATCAATTCATTAATTAATATGACCTGCATCTGCTTCCAGAACCACCTGAATATGATTCGGCTTTAAAAAAAAAAAAGACTCTGGAAGAGCTGTGTCCTCTTCAAGTTCATGAAGAACATCAATGAGATTGCTCGGAAGTGAGGATTCGGAATAACAACCAGGCCTGTGTTCACAGTGCATTCATTCTTCCACATGGTCTTTGATGATTTCACTCAAACTTTCTGTTGGGTTAAGATCAGGTGAGTTATTGGGCCACAAATCATTACCCCAAAAATTGAACTCCCTGATTCCTGATGAAAATCTCATCAGGAATCAGGGAGTTCAATTTTGTTGTGTTCAGCAATGAGTTGAAGGCATCTCTAGACATGTTTAAACATGAACACAATACTGTGTTTGCATGTGTCTCAGCAGTCGTGTAAGCAAAAAAATACTGTAAATTTTCTACAAATTGACCAAAATAGATGATTCCTTGTTTCCAAACACAGATTTTATTACTCTATTGAACAAGAGAAACCAGAACTTTCTATCTATTGGAGAACCTGCTTTAGGACCTGGTCACATCATTTCATGTCACCCTGTCCGTGCCACCTTAAAGACACCAGTACTTCACTAAGAAATATATCAATGACATTCCCCTAGTTGATTCCTAAAAATGAGAAATGTCTATATTTTTGGTAGCATTCAAATACTGCATGTTGCATTGACAGCAATTCTGCTAGAAAGATTCTACAGTTCCTTCATTTTCTGTGGGTCTACTCTGCTCATAGGACCAAACACAGTTGCTTTCACAACTGTGGTTGGCTGACCCAAACATCAGCTCTACTTGAACAGAGAAGAATATGCATGGCTTACATTTTCATGTATTCTATGCATTCTTTCATCCATAGGTGAATGACCATGGCAAATAAGAAAGAATATTTTCCAGGTATGAAGACTGATTATCATCAAATGGATAGTTTCATTTGCCCATCTAACACAGTAGCACTATTGGATTGTAATTTCCTGCCAACAAGGGCATCTGTGATATAAAGCTGCATTATTAATAGGAATGTTAACCTAGAAAAGTGATCACATTCCCCTGAACAGGAATTGGGAAGATAGAGTATCAACCAAGTGCAGGGCCTGCTGAGACTTTGTGCTTCAAGCATTACAATGCAAAGGAGATTATCCTGGGCAAGACAATGGAAGAATGGCTTCGTTTTTCAGTTGTCTATTGGCATAGCTTCAGGGGAACAGGTGAGGGCTGTCCGTGTCAAGTCAGTAATATGTACCACTCACTACCATATATTACATGTTGCAGGAACTGATCCTTTTGGGGGTCCTACAATCAAGAGATCTTGGGAAGAGGGATCTGATGCACTGGAGATAGCCAGAAATCGACTGAGAGCTGCTTTTGAGTTCTTTACAAAGCTTGGTATGGATGATAAATCCATGTCTGACAGGGTTACCAGATAACATGATTATTACATTTCCTTTCCTTATAGGGAACAAATACTATGCTTTTCATGATCGAGACATTGCCCCTGAAGGAGAAACTTTGGAAGAGACTAATAAGTATCTTGATGAAGTAACAGACGTGGCTTTGGAACTCCAAAAGCAGACAGGGGTAAAGCTTCTTTGGGCAACATGCAATCTCTTCTCGCATCCATGGTAATTACAGCATTTCTTAAAAGTACTACATGGAATAAGTAACTGACTTGAGAAGAGAAAATCCAGAATTCCATGGCTTTTTTTTGCAATTAGGTACATGAATGGGGCTGCCACTAATCCAGATGCTCATGTTGTGGCTTTTGCTGGAGCACAAGTGAAGAAAGGTTTGGAAATTGCTCATAAACTAGGAGCAGAAAATTTTGTGTTCTGGGGAGGTCGTGAAGGCTATCAATCACTTCTAAACACAAACCTACGCACTGAGTTGGACCATTATGCCAGCTTTCTCAAAATGGCTGCAAGTTAGAGAGATCTTTCCATTCCATTTCAGAGTTCTAGCCTTGAGTGCACCTTATCATAAATTAAAAAATCATTTCTCCATAGACTTCAAGAAGAAGATTGGTTTCACTGGGCAGCTCCTTATAGAGCCAAAACCAAAAGAACCCACAAAACACCAGTATGATTATGATGCAATGACAGTTATGGGCTTCTTGAAGACTTATGGCCTGGAAGGAGATTTCAAGCTGAATGTGGAACCCAATCACACAACCCTTGCTGGCCATGGATATGAACATGATATTGCAGTAGCTGCCAGGTATTGAGAGTCCATTCCCAATTCAAAATTTAGGGAAAATGTAGGTAACACACTTGTGAGTGCAATAATCATGCTATTTTGTGCATAGTTACAAGATGTTGGGGTCAATAGATGCCAACACAGGGAGTCCAGACTTGGGCTGGGATACAGACCAATTCCCAATGGATATCAAGAATGCCACTCTAATTATGAAGATCATTCTGGAACAAGTTGGAGCAAACACTATGACCATTATGAGATAAGTGTGAATTATACAAAATATCTTTTCATTGTTGATACCAGGGTGGCCTTAGCCCAGGTGGGCTGAATTTTGATGCTAAAGTGCGAAGAGAATCAGTGGAACCAAAGGATCTCTTCATTGCTCACATTGGGGCTATGGATGCTTTGGCACGAGGCTTGAAAAATGCTGCAAAGATAGTGCAAGATGGAATACTGAGTCAGCATTTGAAGGTGATATGACAATGAAGGTCAAGTTGCTCAAATTTCAAGCATTGTGACACCTCAACTTCTTGTCTCTTTCAGGAAAGATACAACTCCTTCACAAATACCATAGGTCAGAAAATTGAGAAAGATGAAGCTACTCTTGAAGATTGTGAGGCCTTCATTGCTTCCAAGGGGAATCCAAGCCTCATATCAGGACAACAAGAACATCTTGAAGCCATTCTGAACCATTATATCTGAAATACCCATTTTGAATTCCACTCAAAGTTCCTAATCTCTCTCACACCCTTTCATGAGTTTTGCACATATAAAAATGATCACACTCTTGGGATACCATGTGGATCAAAGTTTTTTATTCCTAATCTTTCATATCTATTGTCTGTGAGACTCGAAACAGGCAAAAAAATACCATATAACTGACTTCATATTTGAGGTCCAGTTAGCTGAATTTCCATTATTAAGTGTGAAGAGAATAATGATGTTGCCAATGAAGAAGCTTGCAGAACACAAAAATTGCACTGCATCAAAATGCTGGATCACAAAGTTTCAATCCACCTCTAGGTATCCTCTTCTGCCCTATCACAAAAACTTGTGGACTAGAAAGCACAGACTACTGACATGAATAGGCTGCTACACCTCATAAACTGGCTTGAATCTAAAGCTTTCAATATGATACTGTACATTCAGAGAAACAAACACCCTAGACATGCTATATAATTAGTATGAACCAGTGAAAAATGTGCTTAAGGATGCCTGACAGCAGCATTTTATGCTCCTTGAACATGAAGAAAAAAAAATAATGAAAAAGAAGTGTGAAAATCCAAAAATAAACATTATCAGCATGGTAGTTTATTATTAGGAATAACTCTTAGGACTCTTGGCATGTCCATCACATTGGCACAATGGCTGATAGCTTGTGAAAGCACTGAATCTAGCTCTTCAAATACTGCTAAACAGTGCATGTGTGTGACGTATGAGAAGACAAGATCCAGGAGGTAGGATAAGAGTTTATATGTAGAAGTGGAACACTTCCAAGCAAGATCTGGAAGACAGTTGAACTGCAGACAAAATTTGGTTGGTAAAGGTGGGTATATGCATTGCACAATTTCATTCCTGAGACCAAAAAGATAACAAGAAAAGAAATTGAGATCAATGCATTAAATAACTTGGGTTGCCAAAAGCCATTATACTCTGTAGTCAGAGACTCAACCACCTATTCACAACATGAGCTTAAAATGCTCAATGAGAACCCCCAGATTTAATGACTAAAAAGTTTTATACAAATAGGGGTAGAACCTTTATGTGGACTAGATTATTCTTACTTCCAAGTTGCAAGGTCATATCTACTGCTTCTGGGTCATAAGCTGTATTTCATTCATTTTTGGACCTTTTGTAACTTGTCATATTTTGGGCTAACTTTGAAATTGTATATATAATATAAATGTGGCCAATACACAGAGTGGCAAACTCTTAGATGCTGAGAATACGCAGAAGTGCAGTCAGTAGCAGGTCAGAGATCTCACCTGATTCCCCCGATGAAAATAATGAATGAAGTGTAATTTAAAAATTACAATTCATGGAATTGGGCTCATAATAATGTGACCAAAGATATGAAAAAGCTGGATTTGACATAATATTGTCAGAACAAAACATTGCACAGCAGATATGACCTTATGAAAGCAATTGCAGTTTTTAAATTATTATCTTTTAACTCTTTCGCTGCTGTGGTAGAAGAGTTTGTGTCTGTGATAGAATGTGGTAGGAGAGTTTTCTCACACGGCAGTTAGTACTCCCTAACCCATGTCAATTAAATTATGCTAAATGAGTTATTGGAGTTTCCAATACCCTAAAAAGGTGGTTGTACTTTTATAACTGAATGTCTTACCAGTCAAGAATTGCATCAAAAATAAAAACAGCACATGTTAAGTCAACACTGGAAGTGTCAAGATAATATTGGTCATCAGTTATCAGCAGAATCAGTATCTATAACTGGATTATTCTCAAGGAATATTTTATGGTGTTGAAATAAGTCCTCTGAAGCATCAGCGTCTAAGAGTTTTGAGTTAAATTCAGATATAAGTTTCTTCATAGGATATAACTCAGGCTTGACTTGGAAGCAATATACTTTGTACTTTAAAATCATTTTGCTACACGTACAATGACTGGGCCTGGCAGCCAATATTGGAATAAGTGTATCAAAATTCAAATATTTTTTGGATCCTGATGTTGGTATATTTGGTAACAAAGTTTCAGTATCAAACTGTCTCTATCTATAAAACTTCATGTGCCTCTTTCATACCACCAAGGGTGATCTGTTGCTGTCAATGGGAAGTGCTCAATCATGTGGAATCACATTGGCCATGACAATTAGGTGAAAATTAAGATCCCTTGTCTATAGTCTTCAAATGGAGCATTTGTTGGAAAAAAAGGGATGTTGAGTCTTCACTATGGTGATTTTATGTTCTCACTCAAGAGGTTGCTTGCAATGAAATTGAATATTTACTTATGAAACATGCAGATAGAGTTGTGGACATAATATATCTAGCCACAGAAAACATATGCACAATTCTCAACAATTGATGTCAGACATTTGAAAATAAATTCTGGATTCTCCTCAGGAAGAACTGTTCTGAAAGCTTTTCTCAATACACATTCAATTTTACAATCATCTGATCGTGTAGGGGTAAACTCAGCACTACAAAATCTAAGCTCTTCCTGAAATTTGCCTTATAGTTATGGCTTAGATGTCCTCAATGAGATTTATGCTGAGAACAAGCTCAGTACTCTTTTTTTCATTTAATAGCATAGCTGTAAATGCAGCTCTTGACTAGAGGCATCCACAGCAAATCTATAACTTGTAATACAATCAATGCCTGCCAGTGTCATTCAAAAACTAAATGCAACAAAGGAAAGCACAAAAAGTTTGGTTCCAAATACAAGCCAAAAATGAATAGAAACATACTTCAAGGAATGACATCAGCCAAAGAATAAAAGAGATCAAACTTGATGGAGAACTTCAACCACAGCTGCACAGCCTATCAAACTATTGTGGTCAAATTGTCTGGAAGTCACATCAGACACAACAGCAATGGCAATTCAGACTTCAGAAAACATGAAAATTGATGTGGGAGACAGGCAGTACATCAAAACTACAAAACTAGCGTGTTGTTACACAGTTAACTGCAAAACTCTGCAGACACTATCCCCCATAGTCACAGAGTAAAGTGAAAATTCCTGAATGCATTATCTTCTGACATGATCATACAAGGGAAAACATCACTACTAGAAAATGTTATACATCACTCATTCAGGAAGAAAGTAACATCACACCTGCTTGCTTTAATATCAGGTATCTAGTTCACTACCATGGTACTTGTTTTGCACACCAGATTTGATCCTGATCAGCTTCATTCTCCTCTTCTGCTGGTTGCTTCATGGCAATGCACTTGGATCAAGCTCTAAATATGTTGCTTTGATTTTTCAAATACTGAGTGAGACAGCAAAATTCAATGAGACACTAGGCGATGGCTATACCTTTCCACATATCAATCCCCATGGTAAACTGAAGATACCCTTAAAAAAAACACACATATTCTGAAGCTCATGCGTATCATTTTGTTGCCTATTCTACTCTAGAGGTTCTGTCCCAAAAAAACGATCCCCAAAGTTTCCAATCCCTGGTATCACATAGAATTTTTCATTCACCTCTTTGTCCACTGCTGTTGTCACAATCTTCACCTTGGGAAAAGCATATGCAATGGAGTGCACACCTGTCAAAAATATTTTTTTAAATCATACACAGGGCTTATTACTCATTATGCCATTCAAAGATGCAACCAGTGACAGGAAAATACAAAGGATGAAAGGAAAGCACCTCACCTATTTCAGCCATTAAAAGTGACAGAAGCATGATGTTCTCTTCAGGAACATCATGATCAAGAAGGACACGAATTGCCATAATTGCAGCTGCTCCTGTTGCCACTGTTGCATCCATCAAGATCACATGGTAGTCCTTGATGTTTTTTGGCAGCTTGAAGTAGTATAGCTGTGACCCCAAAAACATTCAACTCAATGACTCCATCAAAGTAAATTCATTACACTGCACATAATCATGATTGATTTCCTTAGTTAGGAACATACCTCAGGTTCTCCTGTTTTAGGGTTGGTTTGAATGAGAATCTTCCCAATGCCAACATCTTTGACAACATCCATCAGAGCTTGCTCCATAGTCTCCCCAGCTCTCAATATAGACACACCACAGATCTTCTCTTGTTGAGACCTCTTCCCATGATAAGGCTGATTCTGTGGAGTATCCACAACTACTTCCTGCAAGAAAATCAAAGAAGAAAAAACAAGGCTTTCTTTCACCTCAAAGGAAAAGTTAAGTTTCTCCTGAACTTGATCTAGACTTAAGTGACCTCACATTGAAGGGAAGTAGAGAGAGGGAGTATTCCATGAGAAGTCTCATCAGCCTTTTTGAGTAGAAAACAAATTCATCCCTGTCTGTCTCTCTGTCTCGAATGAATGTGTGGATGCCTTTCACCTGTGGAGTTTCAGGAAGGACAAAGAGGGAATTAGGAAGGCACCCCATACGACTCTCTTGTGCCAGCTTCTCCCTCACTCTGAACCCTCTCTGAAATGACCCAAAAATTCATTAACATTTTTTACTCCAAGGGAACTGGGAGAATCAGTCAAGGATTATCCAACTTACAGCTAGAAGCTGGGAATGAACATGCTGCACAATGAGACTGAGAGCAACTTCATTTTCCCCGCCTCGAGGAACAATGATGTCAGCATGAAGTGTCAATGGAGCAATATAAAAATCAAAGGAAGGTTTCACAAATCTCTCATACTGATGAATAACACCTGCCAAGTCTCGTCCCCTTTCTGAAATGTCCCTTCTAAGTCTGCGGGCCAGTCGGATATCATCATCTGTCTCCACAAAAAGCTTCAAGTCTACCATCTAGAGGAATAGCACCACCAAATTGGACATGGAAATTGGACATTGGAAATGCAAGAAACAGGAATCAGCTTAACAGTATATTCCAGTTTTAATCATTAAGCAGAATACTTAATTTTTTTCACCCAAGCATGCATGAAAATTAAGATCTCAGGGCATTCCACCCAGGTACATGATGGTCATATCTTTTTGAAATGAAAGATGATTTCACAACTCTACTAAGGAAAATACATATCATCATAAGCTTGTACATTCCATGATGGCTACTTCCAGAGGAGCTGCAAAAGTAACACAAGGCATGAAGCTTCTGATCTGACAGTCTTGGGCTTTCACCTTCATAAAAGCATTCCTGATTCTCTCAGTTTAAGAGGACATGGATGTCTCTCCCAGAGACATGAAGGGTGACCTTTTCCAATGTTCCATCTACAGCAGTTTAGGAATAATAGAAATTGACAAAAGGGATGTCCAACGCTAGCAAGTGATATTTTCACAAGTGAGAATGATATACCAAGATACCACAATATTCCCATGGATTGACCAGTATTTTACTGTTGGAGAGCTAAATTAGTTCATCTGCTACCTTGGAGGAATATATGGATAAAATTGTTCCCTGCTTTCCCAGCTATCTTCTATAATGATACAGGTTGTCTCTTAATGTCACATAAATGACTTACAGGTCAACAAGCTGAGCTTTAACTTACCTTCAATACCTCAGGGTCATAGAAAGACAAGATTCCTTCAAAGAGGATCACAGTTGCACCATACATGGTTTTCTGAAATAAAAAAAGATCACAAGCAGTGAATTGCTAGAGAAAGTAGCACCAGGGTCAGACCTGATAAGAATAACATCATACTGTTCGGTTTTCCCTGCTGTGAGTCAAAAAGTTGTAAATTGGCACCTCAACTTTTTTCCCTTCTTTCAGTTTCCTCAGAGTGCTCAGAAGCAATTCAAAGTCAAAGGCATCTGGATGATCAAAGTTGTATCCATTTGCTGCAGCTTTAAGATGCTGCTCTTCATTCAATACTTTATAGAAGGAGTCCAAGCTCAGGAGGGTGACCCATGGTATGTTGAGACGGGAAATGATGCTCTTCGCCACCGTTGTCTTTCCTGAGGCACTTCCACCACAGATTCCTATCAACAAAAGAGGTCATATCATGCACTTAGCCAATGGAGATGAGGGTGTGTTGGTGAAGACTCAGTAACATGCCTCAGACAGCAAAATGCTTCTTGTACACAAATGAATCTGCCCAGGAAGGTATCAATCCTTCACTCATTGGGTTTTTGTTGCATTTATAGGCCAGCCTTAAATGATTTTTAGGTAGGGATTATCACAAAGATGGCTTACCAATAATGAATGGTTCAACCTGCTGACCACTAGTGAAATCATACCAAGGTGGTCGCCCTGCAGTGTATATGGTACGATTCTGGGCTCGAAGGAAAACAGAACTTTTCAAATTGGATCCAGCAGTAAGAGACCTTGTTCTCTTTCTGGGTGGTGCAATCCCCATGTGCATTCCTTGAGAAGTACAAGGTTGAAAAGGAATTAGCCTAAAACTCTAACCAAGAGCATTAATGCTCCGAATGCCAATGAACATCAGATGAATACTCAATTGCTTTCTATAATCAGAGTCTCAGCCAGTATAATCTCACCAGGACCCTTTTGCTGTAGAATGGGCTTTGTGGGAAGAGGACTTGGACTGGAACTTCTCCTAGACATCCCGATTCCAGAATCTATGTCATCATCAAAGATGATTCCATTGCACACAATTTCACCATCACCACTGCAAAGTAGAATAATCACTCATGTGAATATACCCAGCATTAGGGAGTTTTTCTCTAAAAAGTACTTGATTTATCTGCTTCGTGTCACTTTTATCTTCACACAGGTGAAGAATATGTTCTAACTTCAAACAGGTGCAGACCAGAGCCACAGAGTACACTGAGTGTTAAGGCTGAATTGAGATATGGGTTGAAACTCAGCTCCAAACTCCTCAAAGTTCACTTGACTCCATTCCAACTCAAACCTTAAAACCTTATCTGGGCAAGGTGTTTTAGTGATGCAAATGGGCAAAAATTTTTAGAATGTTTTCCCTAAAGCAAATAAAAACATTAAAAATTAATTTTTGGATTGATGGATAGCTGTCTATGAAAGACATTGAATTTATAGAAAATTTTGAAAAACTGCCAGAGAGCAATGCACTAAAGTTTACCCTGGGGAATCCAATGGACTCCCATCTGGGCAATGAGAGTCTGCTGGACTCCCCAGGGAAAATGTAATTTATTAAAGGGTTAAAAGAGTAATCAAATCAAATACTCTTCACAAATCCCCTATGTGCAGAATATAAGTTCTTGAAAACCTCATATATGACATCACATATAATCAGATGTGCTTATCACATTTGATCATGCTGATCCATGCACAACATGGTCAGAATATTTTTTTCTCAAACTGTATCAAAGCATGCTAAAACAACAAGTTCAAAGTCCACTAAATGCTAAAGACAATCCTGGCTTGGAGGGAGCATTTTCCTTATAAGGGCTTGACAGTCAATGTATTAAACCAGCATGTTTTGAAAACCCTGGGGCTAAAATGGAAAAAACCTCCAGACCAGTAAGTAATAAAAAGAGTAAGAGTAAGCTTATTACTAAGAATGAATCAAATTCAAAATTAATTAGCACTATATGCCATCATAAAATCAGATGAAAAATTAGACTGCATAATTGAAATCAAAATTAATTGTGCAATATTTATTTTCTTCCTCCCATTGTAAGAGCAGAGGGTTGTAAGACATGGTATCAAATCTAGTCACCGATTCCATTTCCAATCCAGTTCCACTTTTCCTTTTAGCATTCAGTGACATCACCAACTTGGATATTTTTCATTTTTAACTCATCTGGCTGCAAATTATGCAAAACGAAAATATACAATTACTATATACAGAACTTGTGAACAAACTCTGAAGATAGACAGAGTAACAAAATGACTTTATTTATATATCTTTGTACATAGATGTACATTTGTACAATTGGGGAATCTGATGCTAAGAGCAGTAGTGAAGGTTCAATCTGAAGAGGGAGTTGGGGAGTGTACTGAGCTACGTCCATGCCTTATTAAAGAATTACTGCAGCTCAACCTTGTTCATTAATGAATGATTTTTCCAACTACACCATATTTATCTATGTCCTACTGCTAAAAAATAGTTTCAATAGGTCAATTTCTAACCATATGCACTGAATAAATGTCTATCCTAAAATTTAAGACTAATTTTTGCCATTTTCACAAAGAAATTCATTCACTTAAATGGTAAGATACAATTGTCCTGATTTGTGTTAAGATATCTCCTGAACCCAAATTCTATTCCTACAATTCATGTTAGTCAGTGAATAACAAAAAATGAAGAAAACGCATAAGAAAAATGAAAATGAAGAATCATGAAGTAAACACACTGAATTCCCAGTTAATTTTTTTTCCCTCTGTTTTATTTATTGGGAACATCTTCATTTATTTTCATTGCAGCAAAGGACATTGATAAGGGACAAGACATGAAATCATGTGGCACCTTCTTACTTATAAGGACTACTAAAACCCAAGGACCAAACAATTCAAAACTTCAGGGCAAAAGCAATAGGAAACTGAACTGATTTAAGATCAGCTCTAACAATGAATATCTCTAAGAGCATGACAAGGCTCACCTTGGGACTTCAGGCTGCTAGCTAGCTATTTCTGCAACCCATATTTACTCCCCTGTTTTACATTACAATAATTTGTTTTTATGGCTGACATTGGTAATTTCTGGAAGGTGCTACATGACTAAATGACTAGATTCCACAAGCGCTGAGAAGAGTCAAATAAACTAATGATGGGATGCTTCCCTGGTCCAGGATGAGTAGGTTACATGTAGGCTACTTGAACTCATAGACCTAATCACCTGTCAGAACTGCCGGAGCTTGGAGGATCACTCTTCTGGAGGTTCATCACAGTTGTTTCGAAGCGGATCTTCCCTTCTCCAGTGCTACTTCTGCTAGGTTGATGGCACCCTCCCCCCTGGAGGACATTTTGAGATTCCAATGCCATTCATAAAAAGAAAGTTCTGAAATGCACCTGCAGGACAGTCAAAAATAATCTTAACACAATGCCAAACAGGGACATAACCTATTCCTGGCTTATGAGATTCACATTTCTATCTAGGCCTAGGTCTAAATTACTTCACTGTTTGTTGAGGCTAACTTTATTGTAGGCCTCATTACATTAGGTCTCTTAACCCCTTAAATGGACTCGCTGCATATGTGCGGTCTGGCACCTGCCATCTCTCAATGGAATCACCGCACATATGCCTTCAAAAGTTCCCAGTTAAGGGGTTAAGCATTTCATCAGATGTGTAAACTAGAATGAAAATATTATCACTGATGGCAATTCCTGTCCAATGAATGTTATTTTCCCAAGAATTGCATAATTATAAGCCATAACTCTTGAACTTATCAAAGAAACTGTCAGCACATGGAGTAGTTGAAAATGAGCACAGCAGCTCAAGTATTAAAGAGAAGATCTAAAAAGACCAAAGTAGCACTCTTACCCCATCCCCCTGATGTATTTTTTTTACAGCTAAGTCTTCTGTCATTGAATCATAAACATAGTGGCTGTATCTAAGACTTCCCTGGAGCCAGTTTTACCCAGGGCAAAATGGCAAAAATTATTTTCATATCCTATTGCTTGGCCCTACTTTAACCCTTTTGCTGTTTGCCCGAGTACAGATTCAGGTTGCATGCTGCTTGTGTAGTGGTAACCCAAGTATGTACTCAGGCCCTGTCCATTCACTGTTTCTAAGTTATTTCACTATTATTTATGCATGTAACCACTACTTTCAATAGTTTTCAAGATTTGACATTTTAAACATAAACCAATGTTTTCAGGTAAATTGTCCCAAATTTTATGGCACAGAGTGGTAGATATTTTTTTGCAGAACAGGGAAAGGGTTAAGAGCAAGAGTTGGCAGCTCAATGGCTTGACTCAGACATCAGTAAGGAATGTTGCAGATTCAATCCCAACTTGCATGCAGCTTGCTTACTTTTCTTCTTCCAATTCAACTGAATTTTGAGTAGTTAGAAAGACCAATGGTTGAGCAATATAACAATACAACTAGGATTTCCTGGAGTACCAAAAAAGCTAGGCATGGGGGTATGTCCCAGATTTATATAGGATATGGGCTATCCTGGATACACCTGCAGTGACTTCAGTAAACCAGTTTAGTTTTAGTTTCAGTTTTTCTCTAGTTGCAGTCTTTACACAGTCAACTAAAACTGGAAAAAAAACTAATTAAACTGGTCAAGTGAATTCACTTTTTCAGTCTAGTTCCTCCAGTAAACTAAAAAAAAACTGGATTTAAACTAACAGTCCCCTCTGAGCTCCCATTCGCAAAGAATAAGAACAAACAGGATCAGACGGGCCATTGACTGGAAACTGGTTTTAAGTGATGCTGGTTTCAGTTTATCAAAAATTCCCAAGTACAGATCCTGATTACCAGTATTTTCAGTGTAACTCTGGTTAACTCCAGTCAATGGACCCTAAATGAACTGCACTTCATCTTCAATAGATAAGATTTCCATTAACCCCTTTAGACCTGGTGTACATACCCATGTATATAACCTTTGATTTTTTTTTCCTTTAAATGACTGAGATGATTGGTACATCTGTATGTACATTCAATACCTCCCTAACTATTGGGTTTGTGGGGAAGTTCCATCGTTTTTGTTATGTACAATTGGACTCATCTCCCAAACACGAATACGGCTAGTGATGACATCCTTTTATACTCTAATCCACAAAGATAAAAACAAAAACAATCAATGATTCATCACTAGCTGTATTCATATTTGGGAGATAAGTACAATTGTACATAAGCAAAAACGATGGAACTTCCCCACAAACCAAATATAATATATAAAATTTGGAAAACCCTTTAAATGACTTCTCTTCACATCACAATACCATATTATAAAGGGAAAAAATGTAACATTCTCATAAATAATTCAGATCTGAAGGGGTTAACTAGAGATACACTGAAACTGGACTTTTTTTAAAGTATAGAAACTATAATTAAACTGAACGACATGAACTCATTGTTAAGTCAGGGTTGCCCGAGATATAGCCAGTAGCACTTTAAAATATCCTACCATCATATAGACACATGTGAATAGGACTTTTCTCATTAACCCTACTTGGCTCACCAGCAGATGTAGGTTCAGGCACATTCGATATGGCCTACGCCCAATCAATCGTGTCATAAGTAACACCTCTTTCAAATATACACACTAGTCAACCCCGACTTTGTCTCATGAAGAAATATCAGCCTAAAATTAAAATCATGGCCTAAATAAGACTGATCAAATGTTAAGCCTACCGATTCCTTGCTCGCTGAATGATCTTATGGGACTGTCAGGAAATAATATATAATTCAATCACCATAGATGAAAATAAGTTGAACATTAAAGTAGAACGTAGAGCCGGGCTTGAGTTAAGCCCACGTTGCATGGGTGCCTGAGCCGCATACGGTGGCACTGTTATTCACGCAGACGCATTGGAGAATAGCCATGACTCTCACGTGCTGCCAACTGAGACAGCCGACAGGCGGTTGGGGCCTCTCCCATCCAAGGGAAAAGAAATTGAGCCCCGCCTTGCCTCTCTCCTCTCTCTTTCTCTCGCCTGGCCTGCATTCCACTTCTTCCGGCTGATGCAACCAAAACCGTTATTGCTGACTTCACTTTTGCAAGAAGATATCGCCTTCAGCGGGATCCCAACTGTACCGACATCCAACTTCAAAAGGTTGTGGGAATTAAGTGGAATGAATAACGCGATTTTATTTCTTTCTACAGTACTTTTCGATTGATTTCAACTCCATCTCCAACTCTCCTCTCTTAATGTGATGGAAGTTCAAAAAGGTAGATTTCGCTCTGTAATCAATATCCCCCGCAGTAACCTATATCCGCCTCAGCACTTGCTGTGAATGTAGCTCTATTTCTAGTTCCCAAATAGGAGAAGAATAGAAAGAAAGCTGTTGTCCCCATCATAGGCGCCGAACCCAGGGGGGTAAAGGGGCACATGCCTCCCTAACTATATTACTGACTATATTACCCCCTAACTATATTCCCCCCCCCCCCCCTTCCCCCAAGAATGGAAAAATTTCAACAAAAGTATAGCACATGGAAAATGATTTTCCTTTAAAGCTCCAACTGGGGGGACGACCCTGTGTCGCCCTGTAAGGGTATGGGGTGGAAGGGCCAAGCCCAGCAACCCCCCCACCGCTCGTCACTATGCTACCATAATAATACTGAGGTATCCCAATGGATCCTGGATTAATTGCGTCATTGTTATTTCAGGGGCATTAGGAACTCGCCCCCTTATATTTTAGAAGTCGGCGCCTATGGTCCCCATCACATATTTTACATCTCTAAATGGAAATTCCCTGTTCCCTCTGCTTCCTCGAGCTATTATTTTGCTTCCATTTCCCTTGATTGATCGTCGTCCTTTACCAGGATGGAGGAAAGTTGCGCACAGTTCATTAAAAATGTTATTTGAGAAATGGGACTGGTATATATTTTGATTTTTCGATTGAGTTCACCATCCATCCCCTTCTGAATGGCGCCTCATCTCATACAACTTGAGCGACATCTGGCTTCTCAAAATAAGCAATCACGTCTATCGGTAAGTGACTGATGCGGGGAATTGAGAACTTCCCGCTTCTGCCACAGTAGAGGGGGTGAATTCAATTGAAAATCACAATACAGTATATGTCAGAGGACATGGGGTTGATACACTGGCGCCATCTCTAATAAAATGTTGGATTAGATAGATCATTGGCAAACAAAATGAAAGCTCCATGTAATTTGTCGTCATTGTGACACGGAATAACGAGAGACACGGTGGGAAGAAAAAAGGTGAATACCTAATTGAGAGAACGCAGGGAAAATTTTTGGGGGGGGGGCGGGGGGGAAGGGCCATATTATGGCCCCTCTTATGACATAGCTATACTTGGCGATCTCACTGAAACAATAATTGAAAGTCGTTTAGTTTTCGGAGTATTATGTGTTTTGGGACATTTGGAGTTTAGGTAAGGGACTATTCGTTTTATGCGTTGTTGAAAATGTACAGGGATGCGGCTTGAAGGGCTCAACCCTGAAAATCATGGATCTGAAAGTTCTTTAATATTTTCCATACATTTTCAGTTCTCAATACTCTAATGCAGTCATAAGGTGGTGAACAAGGAAGAGTCTATTCATACTCATATGAATAGACCCTCAAGGGAGACATGACAAAATGGGGGCAAGTGGGCCGTACTGATGCCTTTAATCGCACTGAGGAATACACAATTCCGCCTTCATCGCGGTTGGCTATGAATCACTTGCCCTTTTGAGCACCAAATGGTTGCGAGAGTGTTCGAAATGCGTATCGTGAGTCGTTCTCCTTCTGAATGGGAAGACCTTGGAGGTGGAATATCGATCTCATCAATTCATTCTTAGCATTAAAAAAAAAAAACGTGGTCCTTGACAATCGTCCTTGAATTGGTTGGCGGCATTCCTACATTACTGAATCGATCGAAGTTCCGTTATGAGGCATGCATGCCACGAAAGAAAGTCCGAGAAAAAGTATATCCTGCAGTTCCCTTCGATCGTTATTTTTAACTTTCCTTGGCGTCAGGGGGCGTTTTTCAAACGCCATATATTTAGAATATTCAGACAACAAAGCAACTGCACCTAGAGGACCAATTAAATGTTGCGTTTTTGTTTTTCTCGTTCATTCTTAGGACTCCTAAGAAACAAGAACTTATAAGGAAAAGCGCGTTGTTTCGAAACGCAAAATCGGTTGAAGGTCAGGTTTACGCTTGTTCATTCACAATGACAGTGCGTAGAAGGTGGGGGCCGAACTTGGGGGCTCGATCCATAAACACCGTGAAAGTGCCGCTGGCAAGGCAGTATCACTGATCGGTATCCCAGTCAGGTCATAACACATTGATAACTGACGAGGACGTAAAGGCCTCCCGCGGGAACCAATCAGAGGCGTGAGGTGATCGGAAGAGAGCCAATCGGGAGAGCTCCCTCCTTTCCCGCCCACATGCCCCGGGGTCTCTCGACA